TGGACAGGCCTATGCTTTCTGTTGTAAGAGTCTGCCATCCATTGTTGGGCTCGACGGAGGTGGGATTTGAGATCTTGTAACACCCTATCCCGCTGGAGGAGTTGGTCTTCCACTGCTACTACTGCTGTAGACCCTTTCTCATATGGGAGTAGGGGAGGTGGGTCCCATCCATATAGAGCCCAGAAGGGAGTCATTCCTGCTGCATTGTGATACGTGGTATTGTACCACCATTCCGCCCAATGAAGCCACTTGAGCCACTGATGTGGCCTGTCTCCTGCATAGCACCTTAGATAGGTTTCCAAACTCTGGTTGACCACCTCAGTTTGCCCATCTGTTTGAGGATGGTAGCTGGTAGATTTGAAGAGTTTCACTCCCTATAGTCGAAAAAGTTCTGCCCAGAAACGACTCATAAAAATTGGGTCACGGTCTGAGACAATAGAGTTAGGGGTACCATGCAGTCGTGCCACCTCCTTAGTAAAAATCTCAGCCACCATTGAAGCTGTAAAGGGGTGGTGGGAAAGAGGAAGAAAATGGCAGTATTTGGTGAATCTGTCAACAACTACGAGAATGACGGACTTACCATAGGAAAGGGGAAGCCCCGTTATGAAGTCCATGGATATATCCACCCACACTTGTGTAGGAATTGGGAGTGGTTGTAGCAGACCTTCTGGACATTGGGTATCGGCCTTATTTTTCTGGCAAATGATGCATTCGGCTATGGGTGGAACACTTCAAGAAGCTGCTAAATATGGGCTGAATCCTGTGGTATCACCATTCGACGTTTATACAACAGCAAGTTATTCTCCACTGTGTACCCTGGGTGGCTAGTAGGGTCCTCTTGGACCTATGAACACAGCTTGCTCAGTTGTGGGTGTCTTTCAGCTTCTTCCCTTAACTGACTCATGATGGAACACGTTGGGCCCGTGAGAAGTAATGGAAATAGTTGTGGTTGGCGTGACAACACATCTGCCACCTTGTTAGTATGCCCAGCCTTGTATTCAATGACATAATCGTAGCCGAGTAATTTGGCTATCCATCGCTGCTGTTCCGGGGATAATACTGACTGCTCCAACTGAAATTTCAGGCTATGGTGGTCAGTTCGTGATGAACCTCCTCCCTAGAAGGTAGGGTCACCACCGCTGAACTGCGAGAACAATTGCTATCAGTTCTCGTTCGTATACTGACTTGGCCCATTTTTGTGTTGTCAATGCTTTGCTGAAAAACGCTAGTGGCCTTCCTTCTTGCATGAGAATCACACCTACTCCTTGGCTTGACGCATCACATTCAATGATGAAGTCCTTTGAGAAATCTGGAAGTGCGAGTGTCACTCCCTAGTCCAGCAGAACCCATTCTTCTTAAGTAAACTTGTCAAGGGGGCAGCAATCAGTCCATACCCTCTGATGAATCGCCGGTAGTACCTTGTTAGACCCAAGAAGCCCCGTAACTCCTTAACATTTTGAGGTTGGGCCAATTTATCATGCTTGAGATCTTTTCCGAGTCTGCAGCTACAATGTCGTTTTCGACTACGTTCCCTAAATAGTGTACTTGAGTCTGTCCAAATGCGCACTTTGACTCCTTTGCAAAGAGTTTATGAGTCCTTAGTAGTTCCAAGGTGATTTGTAGATGCACTAGGTGTTCGTTCCATGTAGCGCTATATACAAGTATATCATAAAAAAAAAACTAGTATAAATTTGTGCAAATGGGGTCGAAATATGTCATTCATAAGTGCTTGGAACGTAGCTGGCGCATTGGTCAACCCAAACGGCATGACCAAAAACTCATAATGCCCCTTGTGTGTACGAAAGGCGGTTTTGTGGATGTCACCCTCATGGACCCGAATTTGATGATATCCCGATCTCAGGTCTAGTTTAGAGAATATTGTGGCCCGGCCGAGTTCATCTAGTAGTTAATCGATTACCGGATGGGGAATCGATCCTTCACCGTAATGTTGTTCAGGACCCTATAGTCTATACAAAACCGCCATGTCCCATCCTTCTTTTTCACAAGTAATACCGGCAAGGAGAATGGACTATGGTTGGGTTGTATAATTTTTCTATCAGGCATATCTTGCACTTGTCTCTCAATCTCCAGTTTCTGAAAATAGGGGTAGCGATAGGGCCTTACATTTGTGGGTGTCGTTCCGGGCAGCAATGGAATGCAATGATCATGGGCACGTTCCGGTGGTAGTTCCTTAGGCTCTTGGAAGATCACTGAAAACTTCTGAAGTAACTGCTGTAGTTGTATGTGGGCTTCTTCGGATCTGCTGGAGTTACTTCCTTGGGCTAGAAATGGGTCATTCCCGTGGGAGTCTATCTGCATTAAAATGATGTGGGCTGGGTCTGCTGCCTGTTTTCTTAGGGTGGCGAGACTAATGGGTCCTGGATCCTTGGACATCTGTCCTTGAATATGCACCTGCAAGTTGCCCACTTGAAAGTCCATTGTGAGACGGGCCCAATCACATATCACCGGCCCTAGTTGCCTTAGCCATTGGACTCCGAGAGCTACATCTGCTCCATTGATTTCCAGGGAATGTAGATCTACCTCGAACTCATGTCCTTGTATCTTCAGTTTTAATCCTGTGCATGTACCGTCGCACACCAGATTGCTCCCATTAGCTACGTTGACTCGGAATGCTCTACATGGTTGGACCGGAATCCCTAGTTGTCTGACCAATGTTTGAGTAATGAAATTGAGAGTGCTGCCACTGTCTATAAGAACCGATACATGGCACCCTTTTACCAGTCCGGTTACTCTCATAGTTTGAGAGGAGGCAAGACCGGTCAAGGCTTGCAGGGATACTTCCGGATATTCTTTTGTCCATTGCCCCCATTCTTGATTGTCCACTGGCTCGTCAATGTCTTCTGATTCACCGGCGTTTTCAGTTTCGGGCTGAAGGAAGAATACTTGCGGGATCTGACAGCGACGGCCCAGTCCAAATTTGTCTCCACATGCATAACAAAGGCCCTTTTCTCGTTGGGCTTGCATCTCAGCCTAGGTTAACCTCTTGGCTGAGCCGGGGCCTGAACCAGAGTTGGCTTCCTTGCTTGTGATTCTTACTCCTGGTCTGGACTCCGGTTTACCCAAGATACCCGGTTCTGGATTCGGTATACCTGGTCTGACCGCAGCTCACAGGGGTCGATTAATCCTTCTTGCCCAATTCAGTTTGTCTTCATGGAGTCAAGCTAAGGCTGCTGCGTCAAGAACGGTGGTGGGTTGCATGGCTTTAACCTCCAGCCGCAGTTCTTCCTTGAGTCCACCAACAAAACTGCCGACCATTGCGTTTTCTGGCCACCCTTGCACACGCACAGCTAACCTTTCGAACGCCATCTGATAATCTTGGACGGAGCCGGTCTGTCATAGCTTAGCGAGGCTTTCATCATAGTTTTCAAAAACTGAGATTCCAAATATCATGGTCAAGGCATCGGTGAAGTCCACCCATGTGGCTCTTGGGTTCCGTCGCTGGTACCACTGGTACCAGACGATCACCTCTCCTTCCAAGTGTGCGGAAGCTAGTGGAACACGATCAGGTCCAGGCGTATCGTGGTAATCGAAGTACCTTTTGGTTCGCAGAAGCCAAGACGTGGGATCCCCCCTGCGAAGACGGGAAACTCGATTGCCGTTCTGGTGTTTCCTGATCCGCTTCATTGACTGGTGTCACTGCATTCTTCTTGCCCTTCCCGATTCGGAACTGGTGGTGTCTATTCCAGTCGCCCAAGCAAGGACGTGAAGCTCTCTTTTATTTCTTTAATGTCAGCCGATAATCTTTGCATTTCTCCTTCCATGTTGTCGACCCTGTTCTCCATTGCAGACGACCTTGTGCTCGGCATCTCAGCTCTGATACCAACTTGTTAGGTAATTGCCTAACTCAGGGTTTTTCGAGGAAGCCTGCCTCCTGAAATGAGAGAGAGAGAGAGAGAGAGAGACTGAATTCCCAAAATCAATTCCTCCTCTTCTGGCTTCCTTCCCTTATTTATAACACTTCCGTTACAATTCTGTTATATCAGCCTCTCAACTTGTCCAGTTTGTTATTTAGTTTGTTCGAGTGGTTGGCTGTCAGTTACATCACTTAAAGGCTGATGTTGCCTTTTTTTGTACACTTGTCCCTCTGTTCCCCTTATTTGTGTCTTAACATAAAGTAATAAATAGACTAATACAAAATTGAAAATTGAGTTGATTCCAATTCCATCTCCCAATGAACCAAACAACAACAATTGGAATCTGATTACTTTTCTTGATTGAACTAAATAGGCATCAGGTGTAGGTGATTCTGATTCCAATTTTGGGGGATTTCAATTCCAATTCCAATTCCAATTCTGGTCCTGTCTGCGAACCAAACAGACCCTAAATCCTGTCTCTTCAAATGCATTTTGTAGAATATTATTTGTATGTTTCAATATAGTGCTTCATGTGTTTATTGGCCTTACTCTTCACTAATGTTTTAAAAACTGGAAATGGAACTGCTTTTCTGTCTGGGTGGCGAGTGAGTGGTTCAACTGTATGGGTCAAATGGGACAACCCTTGATGTCATAAATTAAATAATAAAATGTAAAAAATAGATAAAATTACAGAAAAATATAGAATTTCAGAAAATTTGCAGAAAAAATTGGGCATGCTTCTAATTTTATATATTCATCATATTAAACAAAAGTTAGTGTAATAAGTGATAATTATTGTTATTAATGATGAAAAATGGCTAAAAATACAAAAAAACAGAAATAAAGAATCAATGTCTAACCCATGACCTGCTGACTGGGTCAAATGGTTCAGTGGTTCAACCGTATGGTCACTGGGTTGTTGACTGAGTCAAAGGTTTTTGACAAGTAGTTTGGGGGTGAAATGGACCTGGAAATTTGGTTGGGTAATGGGTTGACTGGTCTGGCCATGGGTTGGAACATTTCTCTTCATTGACTTTGCATGGGCACTTACTAAGAACTTGTGTGTTCTATTAAATCTATTTTTGTTTTATTTGGATGATCTAATTTGTATCCCTAGTTCAGCTTGTTTATGTTTGGGGGTGGAATGGACCTGGAAATCTGGTTGGGTGATGGGTTGATTGGTCTGGTCTGGCCATGGGTTGGAACATTGCTCTTCATTGACTTTGCATGGACACTTACTAAGAACTCGTGTGTTATATTAAATCTATTTTTGTTTTATTTGGATGGTCTAATTTGTACCTCTAGTTCAGCTTGTTTGTGTTTATTGGGCCTAATTCTTCATTTATGTTTAAATGTAGGTATCTTGTTGTATGAGATGCTTTATGGCCGTACACCTTTCAGAGGGAAGAACAGGCAGAAAACATTTGCCAATATCCTGCACAAGGACCTCACTTTCCCAAGTAGCATTCCGGTAAAAATTAAAAATAAATTGCTATTTAAATGCAATTCCATGAGTCACCCTTTTTGTTTTCTACAACATTTTTCAAACTTCATTGGTTATGCAGTTTAACTTGCCAGATTGAGAGCATGAAATTGTTAATGGCTATGCTGTTAAATGTTATTGATTGCAAAAGCCTACTCATAGATTCAAAATATCGTCTTTGTATTAATAAGTAATGAGCAACTAACAATCTAATCATATTTGACAAAATGAACATATTAGTGCCATAAGACTCACTGCAGAAAAGGAAGTATTTGGATTAATTTAACTAGAAGACTAAATCAACAATGAGATGAATCATATATCCTTGTTATTTGATTAAAATTGACAAATTTTGCAGGTAAGCCTTGCAGCTAGGCAATTGATCCATGGATTACTTCATAGAGACCCTGCAAACCGATTAGGATCAACAAATGGTGCCAATGAAATCAAACAACACCCTTTTTTTCGTGGAGTCATTTGGCCTCTTATCCGGTGCATGGTATATTATCTGCCTCTATATGAGATTTTTTTTTATCAGTAAGAAAAGATTTTATTAATGAAGGAGAAGTGAAAGTACAGCACATGAGCAGCATCGGCTACCTCCTACTACTGAAACAAAGAAACAAATCCAGTGACTGCCTTTTTTAAGATTACAACTGTGCCCAAAAGCACTGTTGTCTGTTAACCCCTTGTTTTGCTAATTGATCTGCTAGACTGTTAGCCAACCTTGGAGTCCAGAGAAGTATTTAACTGCAAATCCTTTGACAGCCTCCTAAACTTTTTGATCTCATTTCTGAAACACCACGGACTCCTTGCCTCTTGTTTCAGCCAGCTTAATATTACTTTGGAATCTCCTTCAGTTATCAACTTTTGAATCCTAACTCCACAGCTTTTTGCAAGCCAAACATCACTTCCTTCAGCTCAACTCTTGTGGAATCCCCTTCCCCAACTGGTCCTGAAAACGTACCCAGGATTTCTTCCCTGTCATTTCTTACCACCCCTCCTATCCAGAAGGCCTGGATTGCCAAAACTACTGCAATCGAAGTTCAACTTAAGAAAACCAACTTTGGGTGAGACTATGTTTTCTCCCATCTTATCTAAAGATCTAAAAGGCCAGAACTCAGTGTTGGTCAAAACTATCTAGGGTTGTGAGAGGGCTGCATCTGATGCAGACTTTATTTAAAGTTCTAAACACATTGATTACGTTTTAGTTTCTTTGGCCAACTCCCAACTTAGTGGGTTTGCATATTATAATAAATCAAGGCAAACATATGGTAGAAAGCTATCGGTTAAGAGTCTTAGAGATGCTTATTTTAAAGACAACTTTCCCATTTTAAATTGCTTATGTGAAAATTAAGTGTAAATGACTGTTCTTAACAAAATAACAAATAACTAAGTTCTGCGAACCAATTTCTAGTATATTCGTGTCAAATGGCAATTAGATGGTCATGTTACCTAAAAGTGACAAATCATAAGAGAGGCCTTAGGCTTTTGGAGCTTTCGCGAACTCCAGAGGAGGTTTATATGTTCTAGTCTGCTCTTAATTAGCCCTTTTCTAAACTTGAGATGTAAGATTTACTATATAGTTATCTGTTTGCTTGCATGCAGAGCCCACCACCATTAGAGGTGCCTCTTCAATTGATTGGAAAGGATTCTAAATCTAAAGATGTGGAATGGGACGACGAGGGAGTGCTTGTTCAGTCTATAGACATCTTTTAAAGGTGTGAATAAGTTGTTTCAGGAAATTTTACATCTGGAGATCTTTAATTAGTATAAGCTGCTCTAAAAATTTACCTGCAAATCATTCATTGGTTTAGTTTCTGGGTGCAACTTGGCCCATGATTGTCTTGAACCTGATCTTTAGGTTCAGTGGTGCTTGCATGTCTACACTTCAGGTTGGGAGTGGGCTGAAATGATAACCCATCTTTCCCTAGCTTGAAGAATATAACTTTGTGGTACAATCGTCTTGCTTGACATGGATCTTTGTAGCAAATGCTTCTATAATCTTGTCGAGAGTATGCAACATATATTGGTGTTGCGGTTGGTGTATTCATAAGTTGACAGCGAAAAGATGCAGGCTATAAGATCCAACCAGAAAGTGGATAGCGCTTCAGCACCACTAATATTGAACCCATTTGTAATCTCTATGTGCATTTTTATTATAGAAAATAAATAGTTATTTACAGAGCATCCACCACCCATTGCATTTTTATCTTGGATGAATAAATGGATAATAAAGATAATGAGCAAATCATCTCTCTCTCTCTCTTATGGTACTAGGGGCTTAATTGTCCACTTTTCAGAACCTCAAAGGTTTATGGACCCTGCCTTGTAACAGGACTTGATCTCTGGTAGGCTTAGGCTATGGTTGGTTCTGTGGGTGTTTATTGGGAAAACACCACCACATCAGCACCGCTTAGGCTATGGACCATGCGTTGGTGTTTATTGTGCATGAAACCACTGTTTGGTTTCAACATTTATCGAATAAATATTAAAAAACAGAAACACTTGGATTTATGTGATGGAGGAATTGGAGGAAAACTTCAAATTTTGGTTTCTCCCAATGCCCCAAGCCCCCAATATTATTGAAATGGAATGATTAAAATATGAAGGGGATATTCAACCATAAAATTTAGGGAGAAGTACGGACAGGTCCATTGCAGAGTTCTGATTTCCACTGTAGATCTTTAACATTTGAAAATGTCAATTACCCCCACCCTATGCACCAATGCCCGCCCATGAATTGGCATCAATTTGGAGTTGGCACCTACTCCAACTGTACTTTGGGCCTATGAAATCTGACCCTGGGCTGAATCGTCATTCTCCCTAAAATTTATACTTGCAAGGGTCTTTCTTATCACCCAAGAAACAAGGAGATTTTTTCTTTCTTTTGCCATGTCCTGGGCCCATTAGACAAGCTTGGATCTCCTAGTCCTACTCAAAGTTTTGAAAACCGGATCAGATCAGATGGTTGGAATGGTTGACCTGAGACCTGTCCAGGCAGCCAGTTCTGTTTCACCCTAAAACCGTTCTTGGGCCAAAAACTTGGTTAGCAACCTGTTAACTTGGGTGGTCGAACTATCAACCAGGATAATGGTTTTTGGCAGTTTTTTAATTTTTAATTTTTTAAATTAGAATGAGCCGTCTGTTCAAGTCAGACGGTTGAACTGCTAACTTGAAAACCAGTGGCCAAAGCGGTTTTAATTTGAATCAGTTTTTAAAACATTGGTCATGTCCACTAACTGTTCCCATATTCCTACCAGATTCATGGAGAGATGTTCTCATTACACGGAGATAATGTTTTGTGGTTGGGTAGGAGATCTGGAGTGCCGTTTGACTGGTTATGAAGTAAATGCAAAGTTGTACTATCAACCGATATATTTGTTGTATTGGCGTCGGCCAATACTGATACTGAGGTGGGAGTCTGGGCCAATATGCTCCAATTTTTTATATGCACTTTCTCCCACATTTCAAAATTTGTTTGACTTTTTTATCCATAAATTCCCTTAATTATTATAAGTTTATAACTCACCATTTTTTGTTATAGAAGCAAAATGATTTGAACTTTGGTCTACCACCAACCAAGTTCTAAATATTGATGCCGGTAGGGGTGTATTGGTAATGTTTTTTTATTTTTTTAACTTTTTTTTTCAAATTCGGTTCAGAGGGGTCAGTTTAAGATTCCTCCACCTCCTAAACTGGCCAAAACCCCGATACACCTTCTATAGGGGCATATTGGAATGCTCCCAATATGATACGTATCGGCCGATACAAGTCAATACGTAATGATTTTTTGAACCTTATCACCCACACAAGATTAACAACAATTAACGCATCACCTTCAAGTATGGTATGCGAAAATTGCATAGCATGTGTAAATTGTAGTCCCTCAAGAAAAGTTCTTTCATGCTGGAAGAACTTTGACCAATCAAAACCCCTCCCTGAATTTTAATAGGTAGGTTTTTTTTTTTGGTAAAAAATAGGTAGGATTTCAAGTAGTTGAAAATTTAAAATGTAAATGCAAATTAATAGGCGGGATTTGAGGGAGTTAAATATGTGATATTTAAACATGGGATTAGGTGTCATTTATTGGTATATTTTGGCCCGTACTTCGATCACTGCTTCTTCCTTTGGTCTATATAGACTCCAAAAGTTTCCCTAACATGGTTAATAACAGATCTCACAGAAGGTGGTCTATGCTAGACAAATATATTGTGATGAGGGATGTCTAATCATATTTTTGAAAAGAAAGGGATGTTTCAGTTGCAGTAAAAAAAAAGCATAGCACTGGGGAATTTGCAGCAATTTTTCCTTGATTTTTTTTTTTTTTTTTGTGGAATTAAAAGATTCATCCATTCAATATTGATGATAAGTTCCGATATCTGTCAGATGTGGCAGAACTGGAATGGAGCAAAATGAAAAGTTCCGATAGCCAATAATAAACCAGCCAGGATTGGAATGGAGCAAAATGGTAATCCTAGATTTTGCTAACGGATTGTACAAGCGAATTTGACCTTGTCTACAGTTCTCTTGGAGTTGCTCCTTTCTCCTTTTCCTTGTCATTTATTCTTGATAAAAGATCATTGTTTATTCAGGGTTTTAGAGGACAGGATAATAAGGGAGAAGGTAGCAACTGCAAGAAATTGTAGCACTCTGATCTTTGCACAATGATAGGAGCTTATGGAATCTGCAACATGTTCACACTCGCAGGGTGTTGCTTTAGGAGGGCCCCGATTCCCCTCAAATGCAAACTCCCTTGAGGCTTAAACAAAATAGGAAGGAAGAAGATTTAGAAGTAGCAGCTAACCCACCAAGCTGGATTAGCTGCCATGGCTACTGCTGTACTCCTTAGTGCTTGCCATTTTCTTATTGCTTGTGAGTCATGAAACTCAATTTGGATGGAGTCTTAAACCATATGGACAGTCTGATGATTGTAGTATAAGGTCCCTGCATCTGGCCATCTACTGCCTGTTTAGATTTTCAAAACCACCATCGGGATTGTATCAATCACAAAGATCAATTATACAACTTTAGATCAGGTGAATGGTGATCATTTATTATACTCTAAAAATATTACACTAGAAAATGTTTCAACTTGATATTTGGCTCCAGGCAATGGTTGGCCTCATTGTTGCAAATTTTGAAGTCAAATACTACATTTACACATCATTTATCCCGAGTTCTTAATATTCTTAACAGGGACAGCATGCTTCAGAATATGTGTGCACATATTGCAGGGTCATTGATGGGAGAAATAGAATCAGACAGAAGAGTGCGCAGCCGTGCAGGAGTCTGAATAAAGACGTACAGAAGAGTGCGCAGCCGTGCAGGAGTCTGAATAAAGACGTCCACTCAGTGACAGGTTTAAATAAAACGTATGGACTATTAATTCTAACATTTTTCTGTAGGAAATATGGCAATCATAATGTATATTATTAGCTCAAGTAAAAGCATAGTAAGGAAAAATATCTGGTAGGAAAGTTGTTCACTTAGAACATGGACGCTTCATCCATTTAGAAGGGGTTCATGCGAGACTGATACATGCATTTGTATGTGGAATTGTGGACAATTGCTGTTTTTGTTGTTTTATTACTTGGTAGAGTATATGTATATATATATATATATTTGTTTCATAGTTCTGATTTTCTTTTTATGCCTCAAAAATGCTTTTGGCCTACGAGTAGCCTCTCTGCTACTTAAAAGTTAATCCATTTTAAAACAGCATGATTCAACTAGGTAAAGAGTTAAGACTAAAGACAGTTGATTTGCCCAGACATCATGCCTACGTTTAAAGGACTCCTGAAACTATTTATCAAAAAAACAAGGACTCCTGAAACAAGAAGATGGATGATAAAACAATATTTTCCCAATAATTTGCAAGGATTACTCACTGGACCACCAGGACTCCTGAAACAAGGTGATGATAAATACCAGTGTTCTCAAAAAATAAGAGCATTCTCTATTTTTTTTTTTTTTATTGTAAAGCTAGCAGAGGAATTACAATCAGAACCTTCTCTATTGAATATAAAGCAAAGTGAGCCGAAATACATAAAGCTAGCAGAGGAATTACACCAGATATAGGGCTATGGAATCATGTAATTTCTCAGACCCTCCAGTTATTCAGCTTAAGGCTTTTGATGATCATCATTAATGTCACAAAACTCACAACTGTCAGTAAACAGGGAAACATTCAACAAACAGAAGAATACTAATCACTCCATGTATACATACAGACGTCACAATAGTTTAAATTGTAAGATAAAGAGGTAGTCATAATAAACATTAAGACAAACTTACCCTTCCCAAAAGAAGATAAACTTGCCAAATGAGATACTAGTAAAGAACCATCAGAGCTGAACTGCAGAAGATAATCAGATATAGCACTTCAATGAAGTCATCTTTCTTTGAAGATTAGACAAGCAAAGATTAAATGGACTAAAATGTATTCTTATCATAGTCATGTCTCATGGAACAAAAAAATAAAAAACACAGTCATGTCTCAACTAAAGATGCAGAAGTGTATAAAGACAGCCAAGGTAAAAGGGAAAGAAATGCAATGCAAGAACTTACAAGTTTTCGGTTAATAACTCTGCATATATAGAATTTAGAATGATAGTTTTGAATTTTTCTTCCCAAATACAGCTTCCCAAATTAATGGTGAGAACGGCCCCTTCTTGTCCAAATATTCTCTGATAGCCTTCTCATCGACAAAGTATCCCTTCTCCCTTAATCTCTCAATGGTGCTCTTCGCTTCTTCCACACCCTTGTCCCTACAAATCGCGTCAACCAGGCCTGTAAAGGTTGTCACATTTGGGGAATGACCGGCCTCCAACATCTCAACGCAGATGTCTATGGCGTCCTCCAATCTCTTCCCTTTGTACAATCCCTGAATGAAGACTGTGTAACTGAACGCATTCGGTGAAATCCCATTATTCTGCATCTTTCTAAAAATCCTCTTGGCATCATCAAGTTTCTCAGCCTTACAGAAGCCCTCAACTACAGCCGTGTAGATTACAACTTCCGGGAACGTACCCTTCTCGCGCATTAACCCAAACAGCTTCATGGCTTCTTGGACCAGCCCATCCTTGCAGAGGCCATCAAGCATTGCCACAGCATTCGGGATGAGACCCGTTTCCTTCATTTTCCTGAAAATTTCGTCGGCATCTTGTGGCGTCGAATCTGGTTCTGCTTTGACATCGGTTTCTGTAACTTGGGTGGGAGAAGTTTCGTTTGTATTCTTTTTCTTCTCTTCGCAAAGCCTCAATTTTTCGAGGAAACTCTCGTCCAATGGACTCCCTCTCTTCTCTCCCTTCATGGGTCTATTAGGAAACTGCACTGAAGGACTTTGCTGCGACTCCGAAGTCCTCTCGTCGACGATGTCCGAACCAAAGTCGAATTTGCGGGCAAAAGTATCACCGTTGAACCTACCTTCTCTCTTTCCCTCTCTACTGGATCCAAAATGAGTTTGCCGTATTTGGTCAGGTTTTCTCATTTTCTCATCATCTTCGTCGTCTCCAAGCTTGAATTTTCCATTGAAATGATATTCAGATGGCTCTCGTCGTTTCTCTCCTCTCATGGGTCTGTTGGGTATCGGGTTGGGGGGGTTCTGATAAGTTCTATTACTTCTTTCTTCATCTTTTCCATCTTGACCATAACCAGATTCGAGTTTACTGAAGAAGGGATCCTGTGATGCATTGCTTCTTATTTCTCCTCTTATGGGTGTATCCCGAATCGAGCTAAAATGGTGCACTATAGGAAATGTTGAAACCGTTTCAGAACGATGTGAGAGAAATTTGAGAAGATTTGAGAAACGAAGTTTGGAAGCCATGAACGAGTTTCCTTCTTTCTCTTCTGGTTCAGACTTCAGAGGACCCAGGACAGACTCGGAGGGGCTAGGGTAAGGGTTTTAGGCGAATGACAATTGATTCTCTGATTAAGGGTACTTTAGTCCTAACGCAAAAATGAAAAGGGTACTTACGGAAAAATGATGATGTACCCTTTTAAAGGCTCAAGTAGTTCTCTACTTCTCTTCTCCGGATAAGGCTTTTTACCTCATAACCGCGATTCTGTAGTCCGTATCCGCTCCTTCGGATTTCAGACCTTCATATTCCAGCAACTGTTCTGAAGAACACTTCCAAAGCTTGCAATGGTTAAAAGAAGCTTAGCTTGAACCATCCGTGAATTTCATCGAGGTAACCTTCTCTCTCTCTCTCTAATAGCACCCTCTCAGTAAACTAAAAGGATGTTTGTGTTCCTTCTTCTAATTTGAGTTATGGGGAAGTTACCACGCACAACCTTCTTCAGATTAGACCATTTAATGTCCTTCAGGGGATCCTGTTAAATTGATCAACCGGGCAATTTTTCTTTTATATGTTTGGAAAGGTACCCGGTTGGAAATCTCTGCTCACTTCTAAGACCTTGATTGACGAAGTTTATATTTTCCAATTTAGTAAGATTTGATACTTGCTCATTTGAACCGGTTTCAGTTTAAACTTTCCAGTCTTGGCAAATAGTACACTTGTTTCCTTCTCCCTTCTCTCTCTCTAACTTCAGTTCTTGATGTGGTCTAGACTGTCTAGTAAGACCAGTATATGCTTTTTTCCTGAGTTGTTCATTGGGAAACCAGTTATTTATATTGAATGTGGATAATGTTTATTGTAAAATTTGTTGCTTAAGACTGATTTTATCATCAAAACCATTTATTTTAAGTAAATTAAAAAAAGTACATTTTTCTTCCATCCAATTCTTGTTGTATTTCATGAATAAAAACGCATCGTTGATCTGATGGTTCATTCTGCTTTCTATCAGGTGATATATATGATCTGTAAGGGAAATAGTGCGTGCTCATGAAAAACTTTGGAAATACTAAAGCACAATTTATTACCGTAGAAGTGTTTTTTATATATGATAATGATTGATGAATGCATGCATTGCTAATTTTAATGTCATGGTAGTGTATGCCTATGAAGGATGTTGGAACACGGATGCTTATGGTGTTATCCTCACTCTATCCTGTTGTATGGTTACTATGGTGTAAAAGAATATATAACTTCTTTTAAGCTAAAATTACTTTTCATTTTCCTACATTCTAGTTTTCAGGATAATTCAACTGTTCCTTTTGGAAAACCTGTTTTCTTCAATCTTTCAGAATTCAACTGTTCCTAGTTTTGTATTTCTCTCGTCCCTGAAATATATGTATTGCTGTATTTGAACAAATTTAGGCTTGAATATAAATCTTTCTACTAAAACTATCTTCCCAGGAAAGATGGAAATCAGCAGCAGTCAAAAGGGCAGCATCATTGGGTTCTTCAGGGAACGAGGTTTTGATGAGAAAAACATCCATGAAATGTTCAAAAGATGCAAGCGTTTAGAGGGCACAGAAAGAGAAAGAGCCTCCCAGAATTGGGATTACTTGAGAAGCATTGGTATTCAAGAGAGGAAGCTTCCTTCTGTTGTTTCAAAGTGCCCCAAGATCCTTACTTTAGGCCTAAATGAGAAGCTTGTGCCTATGGTTCAATGTCTTGCAACCTTGGGAACAAAACAGAATGAGGTGACCTTGGCCATAATGAAATTTCCCCACATACTCTCTCATAGTGTGGAAGAGAAGCTTTGTCCTCTACTAGCTTTCTTCCAGGCATTGGGGATTCCAGAAAAGCAGTTGGGTAAGTTGATACTTCTAAATCCAAGGCTCATCAGCTACAGCATTGAAACAAAACTTGTGCAAATTGTGGATTTTCTTGCTAGCCTTGGTCTTAGCAGAGAGGGAATGATTGGTAAGGTTCTGGTGAAGCACCCATTTATTATGGGTTACAGTGTTGAGAAAAGGCTACTTCCTACTTCAAAGTTTCTAAAGTCAGTGGGTTTGACTGAGTTAGAACTCCAAAAAGTGGCAATGAATTACCCTGAAGTTTTGTGTAGAGATGTCGAGAAGATTCTGAAACCCAACCTCTCTTTTCTGAAGAGATGTGGATTTGGAGATAGACAGATAGCAGTTCTGGTGGCTGGATATCCCCCTGTACTCATAAAGAGCATTAGAAATTCTTTGGAGCCAAGGATTAGGTTCTTGGTGGAGGTAATGGGAAGACAGATTGATGAAGTGGCAGATTACCCTGATTTCTTTCGCCATGGTCTGAAGAAGAAATTAGAGTTGAGGCAAAGGCTCTTGAAAGACAAGAATGTAAATTATAGCTTGAGTGACATGCTGGAATGTAATCCGAAGAAGTTTGCGTTAAAGTTTGGTTTGATTGAAGGGCTTAGCTGAGGTATTATTGGTAACTTCCTTTCAATTTTGTGACATTCTTAGTCCAGATTAATGGTTTAAATACCTATCATTTTTATGCAGATTGGAATTTGATGTTGCCTGTGTTGTGGTGTTTGATTAAGGTAAACTTAAATAAAAAATAGTTTAGGCTGCGTTCTCCAGGATTAGACAAAAGAGTCTTTGCCTGCTCCTGCTTTTGTAATTCTTAGTCATTTCCAAATTCTGTTTGTACTGTGTAGAAACAACAAATCTGAATGCTCATCGCAACATCATATACCTAGTGCTCAATTGGTTGGGTCTGATCCGTTTCAGGGTAGACCTGGTCTCGATCCAATAAATAAATGTGCAGAACCAGTCCCAAACCAGTATAATAACGGACCCTGAACCAACCCAATTATTAATTGAGATTATTGGGTCTGATCCGATAAGATCCAAAAAAAAAAATAACAGCCATGCTTTTAAGCTGTAATTCCACAACAAAACTACTCATTTGTTAAATTGACACATTTGGTCAGTGTTTTGTGTTGTGACTTCATGATTTCTTGCTGTCTGTTCTGCTCTGACACTGGCGAAACTTTACATCTACATGCATAGTTGAGCAAGTTTGGATGGATAATATCAGAATCCCTGCCTATTAGAAATTTAACGATCTAGAGTGACACTTGCAATTACAGCTATTTCTACTAGGGATTGGTACTAGTTATATCTGTGTGCCTTGTGCCTTTTGAAAAGGTTCTACAGTTAATTATCAAATAAAAAAAAAAGGTTCTACAGTTAAATCATAAAGAATAGGAGCACACCATTGACGCTGAAGAGAAGAACATACAAATCTTGTGTTGTTGAAACGGCCTTTAATGTATCAGTACCATAAAATACTGTGGAGCTGCCAATGGAAAAGGTGGGTGAATGGGAGAGGCACTCTATTGAATTTGAACTGGTTTAAGGGTCAAATGTAATTAGCAGAGTATAGAGAATTTTATTAGTCAATCGGGGATCAAACTTCAAATTACAGTTGCTTCCCAATCAAGTGAAGCTCTTGGAAGTTGGAATCTATACCGTAACTACTTTTTATATAACTTCCTCTCTTGATTGGGAACAAATTTTGACTCCAAACAGATGGCCATGAGATATGCTCCTCCCCTAGTAGATTTCTATAGTATTTTAGTCTCTTGTCATAACTCAACAAAATAGAAATTCCCTTCATCCTTGTGGTCAAAACACAAAAAGAGATTCCATATCTGTGAGGTTAACAAACATATCCATATTTTTTGGGTAACCTGTACTTTGGGAGTAGTGGTAATTAGCTCTTCCGTTACCTTTCATTTGCAATAAAGACCCTCCTGAACTTTCAAATTCCAACAAAGACCTCTCTATTAAATTGAGTGATGGAAGAAGTTAATTTACCAAAATACCTACTCAAGAAAGGCCCCTCTCCCCGCCACTGGTTGCTGGCCAATACAACAATGACTTGAAAACATCAACTGGTTCAGGTTGCAAAGGTCATAACCAGTGATGGATGCCGGTACAAATTATACAGAAGCCCAGGAGTGCCTTGAAAACACTAATTGATGTGTTACCTGAGGGCTAGCTCCTTGAAAACACTAATTGATGCCGGTACAAATTATGCTAACTGAGGGCTAGCTCCTTGGTGTGTTACCTGGTTTGTTCCAGTGTTGAAGCAGAATCAAATCCCGCAGACGAAAAAGGGGTTAAGGGAAAGTTATTAATGGTGCATGACACCAAATACAAAAAAAAAAAAAAAAACTAATATAACAACCAAAGGCACCGAATACCACAAGAACTTTATCCATGCCTTACCTTAACACACATATTGCAAGGAAAAAGACATCATCTGCAATCGGATCAATTAATTAATTACAACATTCGCTACATCTGATTATAAACCGAAGCTCCTTTAAAACTTAAAAGCAAGCTTAATTAATTAATTGTTTCACACCGGTAGTGGGCTGTCATTATCTTGCCATCTTTACAACATGATATCTCAATTTGGGTGACTGATAGAGAGTAGTTTTCCCTTTTTATTCATTGATGAGCACACTTGTCGAACCAGGATCCTGTCCTGTGATATCAGTCATCTTTGTATGCTCCACATATGTTCACATCAATATTTTCAAAATCGAACCGGACCGGAAAAACTAGGAATCAGTCATCTAATCAGTTTCATTTTACCCCAAAATTGTTATTTGGCCAAAAACTGTTGATTTGGTCAGTGAATCGTTGATTCCAATAGTCGAATCATCAAACCATTCGACCCATGAATGATTTTTGGTCGTTTCTTGAGTTTAAAAAATTTTTAAATTTTTTTTGTCGGAGTGGGTTGTCTGATTGGACCGGACGGTCGAACTGTTTGACCGGAGAACTGGAGCCCAGAATAATTCCCTATCCGGTTCGGTTTTAAAAACCTTGATTCACATCCTGGTGGGCCATAAATCATACTAGAGGATCCAGACTGACTATCAGACCTTTAGGCTATGCCTGGTTTGAAGGAAAAGGTAGGGAAACCTTTACAAACCTACAAACCTTGTAAAGGTTATCTTATATTTCCCTACTTTTTCCTTCAAACCAAGCACACCTTTAAGTTTTAGGGTCATTTACTAAATACATCCTTTGTTTCATGTATTTACTAAGGGCCTATTTGGTTTGCAGGAATAGGGGTCTGGAATCAAAATTGGAATGGGCTATTTTGATTCTAACTGTTTGGTTGGGTATAATTGGAATCGCATTCCCATTCCTGGTGACATTCCCCTATTTAAGGGAATGGCCATTCCCTCCCCTCCCTTGGGAATGAAATATCATTCTAGCTGATTTCAATTCCCATTCTGATTCCTGTCTGAACCAAACAGACTATGGGAATAGACCATTCCGATTCCGATAGATTTTGATTTCGGTTTTGACTATGAACCAAACAGACAGTTAAGAGTAGACCTACTTTGTAGTTTGTGTTTTACAAAAACGCCCCTATAATTTGCAAACAATTTATTTTAATTGATCTTTCATTAGATGACAGTGGAAAATGGCAGTTTTGACCCTAAGGTCCATTTGAATAAATTTGATAAAAAAAATGAAAATACCATTTTTTCCCCTAACAAGATACGGGCAACCACTCTATTTGGTTAATTTTGTTTTCTGTATGGGCCCTTACCCCTTGAACATTTTACATTCAGTTTAGGTGATCATGTTACTATTTTCAAATGGCAAAACAAACACTTCTTTGTGAATGGCCCATAAAGTAAATAGATTGCAAACTATAGGGGGTATTTTAGTAAAGGGAAAATTCCCGATAGGTACCCTGTACTTTAGGCTGAGTGCCAATTTAGTACCCCAACTTTAAAACCCTACAATCTAGTACCCAAATTTTTATTTTGCGACAATCTAGTACCTACCGTTAATAGACCGTCAATTATGTATATTACGTGACTTCATGTGCGATTTAAGACTTTTAAAAATGTCAAAATTACCCTTGGACACTGTTCATCATCTTCTTTCTCAAGAAAATGAAACAAGCACAAACACACTGTTCATCATCTTCTTTCTCAAGAAAATGAAGATCAAGTTCCGAGAACCCAAAGAATGGAATGTCGGAATGTTGAAGAGTAGGACCACTACTACTCCCTCGAAAAAAAATCTATATATTAAAAAAGGAAAAGAAAAGGCGCTACTTTAATACTTTGCTTGGGGGTGTAGAAAGAAGAAGAAATAGAGACGATGGTCAGATCAATTTTGCTCAGGTTTCCTGGTTGACTCAAACGTATTTGCTGCTATTGCTGAGAAGCGGAGGACATACAAATGTAAGTAATGGTAGATGTATTGATCAAAGAAAAGAAAAGGAGAAGGAAAAGAGGAAAGGAATCCATCCATTGATAAACGTTGGCAGAAGAGAAGAGCATCGAAGATGAGCCATGCTCTCCAATCCTACTCGCTGAAAGAGTATGGAAAGCTCATGAAGGATGCCAAGTTCACTTTCAATCCCACTTCCATTTTCTTCTTGCTCTTGAGGCAGTGCAAACGGCAATGGAGGTTGTTGTTGAACCACATTATTGGCGAATGGTGGTAGCCAAGTTGGTGGTGGTAGTGGTTGTTGAATCACACCGGGGAACGTGGTCGGAAAATGGTTTGCACCTTGATACCTGCTACCGGAAGATGCCACTGATTGGGGAGCAAAACCAGGAAGGAATGAGCTCATCAACTCCAAAAATGGAGAATATTTCCTCGTTGTTGTTAGAGTTTCCTTGCCCTTACACGCCTTATCCATCGAGTTGTAGCTACCACTGAAACGAATCATCTGACCCAATCCAACCTACAACTCTAGGGCATCCGTCATGGGAAATCCAGCATGGTTGTTATTGGTGTAATTGAAATTTGGGGCTTAGTTATGCTTATTGGATGAACCCATATTCTCAAATCTTGGATTGATACTGTTGTGGTTGTGGCTGTATAGGTTCAATAATGTGTTGGTAGAATATCTCGGTTGCATCTAAGATCGTTGAGGGTTCATCTGCACTGTATTTGTACCTTTTCCCAGTAAGGATGAACTCATTCCAACACGGTGTGGTTTCATTCGTTGATTAAGAGAAGGTGCAGAGCCAAGAAAAGTGAACTTGATATGCTCTTCAAGCTCGACTACTCTGAAGTAGGTAAGCAAATTGATCGTCTCTACCTAATGCCCCGCTCCGCCGTCTAACTCGCCAACTTCAAACCTTCCCTCTACGAACGCCCTGTCTGTCATATCGCTGTCGAAGTCTCCAAGAATCTCGAACGTGCCTTGGCTCTCATCTGTAAGTGCAAGTGCAGCTGCGTCCTCTGCAGATTCGTCACCGATTTCCGCAAGCTCTTCAACCTCCTTGACGCCTCCATCGGCAACAAACTTCAAAGCCTGAAGAGTTTTGAAGCAGCAGAAAAAGAAAGAAGAGTAGAAAGAGCTTCATTTTGTGTCGGATTCCGAATCTGCACAGAAAAATCATTAATAGAAGGATGGCTCGTAATTGTAGAAGGTTGGGAGTTTATACAAAGGAGTAAAGTTGGAAGTTTACACTTAAAGGGCATTTTTGTCTTTTTACATGCTATTTAACAGCTGGTTAACGTCGGGTATTAAATTGTTGCAAAATTGAAGCTCGGGTACTAGATTGTCGCGTTTTAAAGTTCGGGTACTAAATTGACACTCGGCCTAAAGTATAGGATACCTATCGAAAATTTTCCCTTTAGTAAAATAAAAACTACGGATAAGTTTAAATGAATTCATGAAATTCCAGGGGGTGTTCTAGTAAATGACCCGATGTATTATTTCTAAAGAAATTACTACCCATAAGGGTACACTACTAGACGGCTTCCTTTTCTAGGTGGGCATAGTGAATTTTGTCTTTGATAGGTTTGATTGTAGTGAAAAGTTGTTGAAGGGCTCTCTGCTGGTCCATTTTAATTTGACTCTATGCTGTTAATCATCTCTGGAGTCACCACTCACCAACAACCCTGATTGACCTCATTTGTGTGTCCCGGTCCCCTCAATGCATTTGGTCAAAACACTCCCCATTCCACTACCCACCATAAAATTTTAAACCACCAGTCTATACATACTCCAAAGGAATTTGAATGCGATTCACACCAACCTCACAGTATATTACAGCCCATGTATTTAGAATATCTCTCCATGAATGACAATATAATATACAATATACAAGTACAGGAAATATTTACAATGTATGACTACAAAAAGCAAATCCGGACTCACTCCATAGGCTGCCCCACACTGAGCAAAGCTGAATTCTTTTTCCTTGAATTGTGTATACTTGGGAAATATGTAACCTTGAATTGTGTATACTTGGAAATATGTAACACTAACACCGCGGCACAGCTGCAGACCTGCAGTTCTTTCTCCTTGAATTGTGTACACTTGAAATATGTAACATTAACAGCTATCCATGTAACACAATGTGAGAAGAAGAAATTCACAAATTCAGACTGGTAGATAGATAGGTGAATTTTTGATTTGTTGGTGCTAACGGAAAACTGGACAGCTGCAAACGGGACAAATTCTTCCATTTGACTAGTAAGATGGAAATAGATGTCTATGAGACGAATCGTCTATTTAAGTCTTGAGACAGATCCAGTTCTCTTAGAACTCTCCCAAAGTCCCCAAATCCACAACAATCCCTCCTATGCCCTTTTCTACTGAATTTGAGACAATCCCACTTCACCTTTTACATCTTTTGTTTACTCTGGAGAAAAGTTTCTTCTAAGAGGGCCATGGATCCTACGCCATTAGTAGGGTCCGATTACAAGTCTAGATCAAAGACAATATCAATCAAGATATGGCAAGAGTGGAAGAAGTTGTGGCTCCTTGCTGGACCTTCAATTTTGATCGCTGTATTCCAATTCTCTCTGTTTGCAATCACACAGACCTTTTCGGGACATCTCGGAGCAGTTAAACTTGCTGCAGTGGCTATCGGGAACTTGGTCATCTCCGGGATTGGCTATGGCTTCTTGGTAACTAATCAGAAGTCTAGACTGACTAGACCCTCTGTATAGATAGATGCTATACTTGTTTAAAAGAAAATTCTGTTTGAATAACATAGATGTATGTATGTATGTATTGGATCGGTTTCTAAACATGACTAGATGACATCCCTTTAATTTGTTTCACAGATGGGCATGGGAAGTGCTTTGGAAACCTTATGTGGACAAGCATTTGGAGCAGGGCAGCTACACATGATGGGCATATACTTGCAAAGATCATGGATAATCCTGAGTGTGACCGCGGTGGTTACGTGCCCGGTCTTCATTTTCGCGGCCCCGATCCTACGGCTCCTAGGCCAAACTGCTGAGATTTCCCAAGTTGCTGGGGAGTTCTCTATATGGATTATTCCACAGTACTTTGCATATGCATGGAACTTTCCAATGCAAAAGTTTCTGCAAGCACAGAGTAAGGTCATGGCAATGACATGGATGTCGGGTATTTGCCTAGCAATCCATGTAATATGGAGCTGGTTGTGTATCGTGAAGCTGGGGTGGGGACTTGTGGGTGCTGCCATTACACTGAATTTAGCATGGTGGTTGCTAGTGTTGATGCAGTTGGTTTACATCCTAGCCGGGAAATGCCCTGGAGCTTGGACTGGCTTTTCATGGTTGGCTTTTAAGGATTTATATGGGTTTGTGAAGCTCTCCATGGCTTCAGCCATCATGCTATGGTAGGTCCCTCAGATTCATTAAATCTTGGGTGGAACTGGAGATAGAGATATTCATTTTCTGTGGACTGTGGGCCTTCCAATAAGTTGATGAGTTTGCTCTGTTTACTTTGCAGTTTGGAATACTGGTTTGTAATGATTTTGATTTTGCTAGTGGGGCATCTGAAGACTAATGCAGAAGTGTATGTGGATGCCATGGCCATATGGTAAGTATAATTAATAAGCTTTTACAACCAATGGTTGTTTGCTTCAGTTATTCTCGGGCCACCCCAAATGTTCTTCCTACTCCTACCCCCTTCCCATGATAAAACAAATTTAATTTGTTAACATCAAACTTTGAATATTAATTACTAACTTGCTTTTTCACTTAACCAAATTGTGTTAATTTGTATAGCTTGAATTTGGATGGATGGATTGTGCAAGTCCCAATTGGATTTATGGCTGCAGTAAGGTGAGAACCCATCTTTTTCAAGTATTGCAACAACCTGCTTGACCCCAGGGCCCGTTTTGTTTGTGGGAGTAGGATCCAGAATCGGAATTCAAATGGGTTATTCTGATTTCAATTGTTTGATTGGGCAGAATCGGAATTCTATTTCCATTCTTGCTGGAATAGCATTTCCGCTTAACTACACGCTGTAGGCAGCTAGGTCATCCATGGAACATTGGCAAACTGAAAATGTTAATGACCCCCATTGTTTTATCTTTTGTAATTTCACAGCGTTAGGGTGTCAAATGAACTTGGAGCAGGAAACCCAAAAGCTGCCAAGTTTTCGGTGATAGTGACGGTGTTAACATCACTCGTGGTGGGCATTGCTTTCATGCTTGTAATTCTGATAACTCGCACTAGTTTCCCCGTACTTTTTACAAATGATGAGCAGGTGAGGAAGGAAGTATCAAGGATCTCTTGGTTCTTAGGACTCACCATCGTCCTCGAGAGTGTACAACCAGTTCTATCAGGTCAGCAATTTCAACTTCTCTTTTCATCACTTTCATTTAAAATTACATGTATAGATATAGGTTGGTCCCGTTTTGGGGTTGGCCTAGGCCTACTTGCTGAGCCCGAGTTGTAAATTGTAATCAGCATTTGCTCAGTTGAATACAATAAAGCAAAATTAGGCACAACCCAGAGTCCCATATCTTTCAAAATTGTCGTTTGATTTTTATAATCAGGAGTCGCAATAGGAGCTGGTTGGCAAGCCATTGTGTCCTACATCAATATTGGATGCTACTTCCTAGTTGGGCTCACTTCAGCTATTATCATGGGTTACAAATTCAATCTTGGTATCAAGGTCTCTCTCTCTCTCTCTCTCTCTCTCTCTCTCTCTCTCTCTCTATCTCTCTCTCATTTCCATAAGAGTAAGGAGGTATAATCAATATAATGGGGCTTCCTTACTCCTTAGAGAAGAGAACAGAGATATTTTGATCTATATATGTCAATAACTTAAGGTATGACCAATTGGAAACGAAAATGAACAGGGCATCTGGGGTGGAATGTTACTCGGGTTCGTGGCTCAACTCATAATCATATCCATAGTCACATTGCGGACAGACTGGAATAAAGAGGCAAGTACATCCAAATGGGCCTACCAGCATTTTTGATTTTATGGTATTGAGCTTTGTTTTGTTCCTTTGAGCCCCAAGTTTATGATTTTAGGCAATGCATGTCTTTGAGTGCAGGCATCAACAGCACAAGACAGGGTGTCAACATGGGAAAAGTCAACAAGAGATCCGGTGGATGAAGAATCTTTTAGCAACGGTACTCACATCACCACCTAAATAGGGTGGGTACATGTTCAATGTTTAGATCACTGGAGAGAGAGAGAGAGAGAGAGAATGGACCCAATGAAAGAAAATTTCCCCATTACAATTAATGTGGGTTATCAGTTATCAGGAGATAATAAAATAGACTAAATCCTTGACAAAAATTGGTTGATGCGTATTGCTAATTTGCATAAGAAAGGACTCCAATTTGCACATGTGAAAGTAGGTGCCGTGCGTGGCTAACATGTTTCAGCCTCAGCCTGCACCAAAGCGAGTGCAGAAAATCCAGACTCCAATTCAAGAAAAGTTTATTTTCATAATTGTTAGTACATATTAACAGCACAGCACCATGTTTGATTGGAGTCCTCCCACCATCAATCATTTCCCAAGGTGTGGTATTATCATTAACAATGACTTTACATGAAGGCAGTAACAACTCTTACAACATACGAGTTTAAATTTACGACTGATTACAGAGCAAAGGCTGATTACATGAATACTCTTTCTTTGGCCAAGTCCCTGTGGATCATGTACCGGAAGGCAGAATCTTGTGGTGCCCATGCAATGTGTTTGTCAAGCCTTCCTTTAATGCATCTTACAATAGATTTCTTTTGGGTTTCTGATACGCATTCATGTATCATCTCCAAAAGTCCAGATAAATTTAGGGAAGCATCTTTAGCAAAATAGTAAAGAATTTTTGGAAGGATAATCTTCATTCCCTTCTGGATGTGGACACTAACTTGGACAAACTCTTCTTTGGCTACTCTGAGCTCTTGAAACACATTCTTTGCTGTGTAGACTCGGACCTAACAAATAATGAATCAACAGGCAAGTCACTAGCAGTTAATTTAAAGTGGAGAGAGAGAGAGAGAGAGGTACCGCAGGATCAGAGTAGGCCCCTGAACAAAGTGCAAAATGAACAAGTGGCTCAGGGTAATCAAGGGCATAGATATGCTTGCGAGTCCCTGTTTTCAACTTTGTTCCTGGTGAGAACAATGTCTGTAGCCACTGCACAATTTGCAAGGCATCATGTAAAACAAAACTAGATTCAGATATTGAACTTATATTTGTTTATGATCAGTAACATGAACTATCTTTTATTGAAAATGGAGGGAATACACAACCCATGCACATCATGTCTCTTTATAGAACGATCTTGTATTTTTTTAGTGTAAGTCTTCAATTAACTTGAAATTTGCTCTTATATTTACTTGAAACCAACATGTAATCAAGCTCATTTTGTCTACAACTCCTGTTTCTCTGTTTTTCCCTTCCATTAGCTAATTGGTTCACAGATATTAATTCCAGAATTGCATCTGATTCTGTGGTGCTAAATATATGAACTAATTGAACATACCGGTGATGAATGGCGCAACTGGCATCCTAAGATGGAGCTTTGTATCATATAAGCATTTACTGAATGTCCCCCGACATTATATGATGCCTGGCAATGAGAATTGAAAAATCTGAAGTGAATGTCAAATGAATAATTATAACCTGAAAATTAGCATTCAGAGTATTACCTTTAGTACCATGGATGTACTTCTGATGCAATTATGATGTATTCCATATGCCAAGTATGCCTGCAAAAGAATAACTGCTGAGATACTGCCTTACAGATTGAACATGTTGAATAGCCAAACCCGATTAACATCATAAATTTTTCTTCCCACTATTATAGACTAAACAGCAGTCTCAATAGAAAGAACTTCTGTCATGCATTCAGGGGATGTGACTTTACAAGACTGTTTGGATTGGGGTGGAAAATATGAAGGATTCCAAAATCTGCTAATTTTGCATTCTGGTGTTTCCTCTGAAAATTGAGCTGCACAAATTCTAGAATATGGATTCTTTGCCACCTTTCCTGTTGTTTTATAGGATTTTTGTATCTTTTTTTGTGGGTGTGGCAAGCCATCACCAAATCCACTAGTTTTAGTATCACTTAAAGGATTTTAGTATCCTTTTCCAGTCCCATCCCCTGCCTTCCCCCACCCCCCCAAAAAAAAAGATAACCTAATTTAATGTAGGGATTTCCGACTTAAAAGTCAGATGCTTGGAATCATATATTGTGAAGTCAGTATCGATCATTTAACAGTTGTCTCACTGTCCAAAAGAATGTGGGGCATTTGATGGCTTCAATATTCTCATACAGTTGATCTAAACCTAGAAAAACTCCCAAATGGGATTCTGTGAATTGTAAAAATACCTGGTAGGCATAGTGTGATATGACCTGGAATACTCTGATATTCAGAATATTCAAACTGACATAAAATAATCAGCAACTTTGGGAACATAAATTACCAAAACAAATTTCAAGTTCAGCTTTGAAAGACATACGTGCATCACCAAGGCATTGTGGATGTTGATCCAGAAAGAAAGCTTCTCTTCACGCTTCATATTCCTCGGGTCAACCTTCTCAAGATGTTGAACCAGTGACCTATAAAGCTTTAGGTTTAGTACAGTTTTAGAAACTTTAGGTCTGGCAAACTTTTTCATTGTGAAAGTTGTTAAGAAAATGAGCCAAGCTAAGATGAGAATGTTAAATGGATAAATGGAAGGTCTAGGAGGGTTAAAATCAAATATAAACACAACCAACAAAATCTCTAAGCTGGACATGTACTAGAAAGAAAAAGAACTGCTTTGGATAGACTTATTGTTTGGTTTATGTTGAAGGACCATTATTCTTTTCTTTCTGTTTTTTGTGGTCATGGAAGGGATTTTCGGTTTGTTGAAGATTGAAATGGTAGTAAGAAGATTTGTACTGTCTAGAAAGCTTTAGCCATTTCAGTTTTCCTGAATCAGTTTGTTTTTACTTGAAAGAACAGAAAACTATATTGATAGAAGGGTTAAGAATATAAAAGTACAAATCATGATAAACAGATCCTCCAGATAATGCAGTGAAATGAAACATGCACAAGAATTTCAGCGCAAGTTGAGAGTAGACTACCTAAACCTTTGAAGCATGGCAGCAGCATAGTTAAACCTTTCATCATCTACACATATCTTCAAAACTTCTAGCATTGCATCATATGGCTCATTCTTATCCTTCTCCACTTTAAGCTGAGAAGGATTCTCTGGAGTTTCTTCGCTGTATCCGGAACTCCAGTGATCATGAGGTGAAAAGGTACTAGAAGAGGACAAAGAGGAAGTTGGAGATGCTGACAAGCCTATCTGGGGTAGAGGGGGATTGGCTAGTTTGCAATAAATAGCAGATATGCATCTTACAATTTCTTCAGAAAGTCTATCTGGGGTTTCAGGGATGTCATCTATCAAAGAAGCACCAAGGTAATCTGCAAGGCTGCGGAACCCTGAATCATCATTCTTGCCATCCTGTAAAAAGATGCACCATAAACCTGGCATGTAAGGTTTTCTTTTGCTTCAGTAATGAAAAAATGGGGGGTGGGGGGGAGTAAACCTAGAAAAGATTAAATAATAAAGAAAATTCTCTCTCTCTCTCTCTCTCTAAAAAAGGATCACATTCTTATAAGAAGGTTCTCTATACACCTTTAAAAGAAAGATTTCTGGAGTACAAACAAAAGGAATAAATTAAAGCATGGAGTATTATTATATATATGACTCGATAATTTGAGCTTCTTACTAAGGGGTCATTTGGCTTACCTTTAAACATTTTCACCAGGGATCAGTTCAAGAATCTATTTTTCCATTCTCTAAGCTGGCAATTATTTTGCAAACTCAGTTGACAAAATGGGTTTCATAAACACTTGACTCTAGTTGCTAGAAAATGTTCTCTAGAAACTAAACCTAAGCATTGAAGTGAAATTTAAAAGCTGCCTCCTTGGCCAGCATCAAGTCTAGAGAATCAGTAGCTTCTCTAGTTGAATTCTTTTTAAGGCCTAAAATAGAGGTTAAGCAATATTCTTGCAGAAAATATTATAGAACAAATATTAGTTCATATTTCATAAGCACTTCATTAGGAATAAATTAATACTTCTTGTTAACCTCAAAATAAAAGTAACACATTGAGAATGAGTAACTACATATGTTGCATACAATTTCATGGGTAAGGCCTACATACCATTCTAGGTGTTACATCTGGAGGAGGGTGAATGGGATTATCAGAACCAACGGAACCATGTTCAGGGGCAACTCCATTATGCTCCACTGTGTCATTGCTGAGCACATCAGCATCCTTATGGCAACAGAATTCATTTCTTTTGTCCTGTGAAGGAGATTCTGTCCTAGATGGCAAGTCAGGTCTAGAGCCCTCTTCTATGATAGTGGAAGGCAAGGTAGCTAGATGGTGTTCAAAAGCCTTCCGATATAGTGAAAGAAGATGTCGTTCCAAATGCGTAACTTCCACCTCAAGTGCTGCAATCTCCTTGATCAGTTCTGCAGCAGACTGTTTCACAACCCCATGGTTAAAAGTTCAACAAGTTGAAAACAGAGTGACATTCAATAAAACATCAACTTGTCAACCCTTATGAATAAATGAAACCATAAACACAAGGGTATATTTAAGAGTATCCTCATCCAAAGGTCAATAAAGAATATATTTCTAGGAAGTCATCTAGTTAAAAGATTTATCATCCCTATCAAAGAAGCTACCTATCCAATCTAATAAAAACTTTTCCATCCTGCCTTTAGATTGCAAACTACAACTTTGGATCTGTGCATCCTCCACAAAGAATAAACATAAAGAAACAAAGAAACAAAGAAATAATGAAGAGAAGATCACTGGATCCATGTAATTATAATGCTCTCTAGAAACTGAATAACCAATATACATGGACACATGGATATGCCAAGTATAGAACATCCGAGCTAGAACAAATACTACATTAGATTTTAAAAGATACATTATATAAAAACTTGCATCACCTAAATTTAATGGGTAGCATTAGCATAATACAATTTTGTTTTATTTACAATATCTGAAAGGAGCAGTGGAGCAACAGCAATTGAGAATATGAATACCTAAAATCAAATGGAAGCCTTATTAAACCAATTGATGTTTAAAATTAAACATCAAGTCTTTTTATAAGCATTTTATATGCAAAATATCTTACTTACCCATGTACATCCATGTAATGACCCTTTTTATAACACTTCTGATCTTATTATAACCATCTTATAGAACTTTCCTTCCAGCCTTATTTGTATAAAGATAACACGACAAATGCCATATGCGCTCCTCCATCTTAACAATAAGCTCTAATTAAATGAGATTATGGATTCTCTTCAATTTCTCCTCCTCTATGGATGACTAATCCTAGGTAATGGCAATGGTCAATTAGGGGCATCTCTTAATCATGAATCATTATTGCTCCAATACTGCAAATTCAATTTTTTCATCAAACTGAATGGCATGGTGAAACAGGATTCGTGTAGCCGAGCCCATATGGTTGGGACGGTTAGATGATGATGACGGTGGTGGTGACAATGCATATATTCTTAGTCCCATTACCTTTTTATGATTTTAAAGGTTCTCTTTATGGTTCTAGCTTTGCAAATGCACCTTGTTCAGTGGCTTCGATCTTGTTAATAAAAGAATATAATTAGCAAATAGCATAAACCAAGGGGCAATTGCTTGGTGTAATGGTAAAACCTTAGGTTGACAAGCACGCGAATGTGGATTTGAGTCTGAGAGATGCCACTTTGTGCAAAAAACATGTCAAGGGTTAGATCTCCAGTCCACACTATCCACCCCTCTCGAGACCCTAGTAGTTAAGACCAACATTGGAAAATGGACCTTTTAATTAGCATATACCACACGACCTCTTTGCTTGTCCCATAAATGACAACTTTATGCATTTAGTTAGTTTAGAGTCTTTAGACCATGTGTAAGTATGTAGAGTTAGCCACCGCACCTCTTGCGATATACAATGAAAGAGACAATGCCTGAGCACAAGTGAAACCCATCTTTTCACAAATTTTGTATCGCAGCTTTGCATTCTCATATCGCAATTTCACAAACTCTACATTGCAACTTTGTTTCACAGCTTCGTATTGCAGGTTCCCATCACATCGCACTATCACAATTAGCCTCTCATCACATTATCCTTTGTTCAAATTCTCGTCACAATTTCTTTATGGACTTAAAAGGGCCATAGCAACCCATGTCCTCACATGCACACGTTAGGAAGGGGCAAAGGCCCAGACACTAAGGTAACTGCTTGGGCACGTGGTGAGATCCCAACAAAAATGCAAGTGGTGCAAATTGGGTAACTATGTAACAAATTCAACTCCTTTCCAGAAAGAAAAATCTCCAAGGAAATCCATAAATAGGGGACCCCTGAGAGGATCCATGGCACATTCCTACCCATTCAAACCGCATAAGTTTCCTTCTTGTGTCAAAATTTCCTTTTCCACATTAGGCCCTCCCTCTTAGATCTAAGATCTAAGATCTGAGACTGTCTTTTGACAACCTCGCTCAGTCTCACCTTTGAAATTTCAACATCTAACTACAACAGCCCGATCCCTTGTTGGAGGGTATATAGGCAGCCCCCTGGGGGTCTGGGGTCTGGCCAGCTTCTCTACCCCCCCCCCGGTTTAGATCGTCATCCCCCTCAAACCTTCAGAGCATAGACCGCACTCCATGGCCTTACACCATGACAAGGACACAACATTGTAAAGGCACAAAACACAGAAATCTACACTAGAGGTGTTCAACATGGGTTTAGAAGAATAGTTCTTTACTTTTTATTTTTAATATATTTAAAGTTTATAAAACTTTTTTCTGAGATCTAACATTTTATGTAATTGGCAGTGACAGTTTTTAGGAGTTAAAGGTAGTTTCTTAACAACAGTTTCAAACCATTTCTTGGAACTGAAATTAACCACATCTACAGTAAGCATCAATGCATTCCAATATACAAATTAACAAAATGGAAAGGGTGTTTAGTATTGGTGTGTTGTAAGGTTCTAAATATCGACACGGGCCGATACGCTGGTAGGGTGTATCGGCCTGTGTCGGTGCTTTTTTTTTATGTTTCACTTTTTTTTCAAAATCAGTTCAGAGGGTCCGGTTTAAGGCCCGACTACCCTCTGAACCAGTGGCTGACCCGATACAACCCCTGTAGGGGCGTATCGGGAAGCCACCAGCACGATACATATCGGCCGATACGTGTCGATACTTTGAACCTTGGTGTGTTGTATGAATGTTGTGTTTTTACTTGATTTTAAGAATTGGAAAATGAGAAAAAAAAATTTTGGGTACCAAGTAGAATGCTAAATCGTTATTTATTACACATAAGCACCACTAGGCGCCATTGTGCACCACATAGGACAAACCGCCCACACAACACCGGAACACCCCCTTGTGCAGGAAATATCCAGATGGTGTTTCCTTCAAAATGCACTTTCACATAACCCAAGAAAAAAGAATAGTACAAAATATGTGTACTTGATCAACCCAACCAAACAGGATTTTGGTTTGGTAAAGTGAAAATTCCTGTGGTGTTTATGTGGTGGCAAAATGGTTCAACAACACCTGCACAACACCATGATACCAAGCACCACTTTAATTGAGCACTTTTCTATGTTGGATGGATTGCCATTCAATGCAAGGATGCAATATTCCAAAAACACAAATCATACAAGACTAGGTAAGAAACCTTATCTCTTTAGGGCTCTGAAATAGACCATGTCATCATCATCATCCAAGCCTTATCCCAGATATATGGGGTTGGGCCGGTTGGCTAAAAGAATACTGTTTTTCCATTCCGTTCTGTTTAATGCCATAATTTGGCTACAGGATGAGTGCAGTCCAAATTCTTGGAAGCAAGATATGACTTGGACAAACCATTGTGAGCTGAAAATTGTAGAAGGCCCTGGTCTATTCAGCCTCCCTTAAAGATCAACATGTATTATACCTTCTGTTGTCCATGATCACAAATATTATTTTGCACCAGCACTTCAGGCAATTACTGATATTATCAGAATCAGTTACTGGAATCATATAATTTTTCTGTCACTCAATATTCTACATATGCTACAGCCGTATGACTAGAAGGAAGTGAATTTCCATTCAATATCATACCTCTCATGGTTTCCCAATTATAAAAGATGATAAAAGAGATTGTAAAGCCTTAGTGTTGTGATAAGTGGCATACACAATCCTAATTTACAATGTTCAATGTATGAAAAGAAAGGCAATAATTCTTTGCTGTTACTAGTTCTGGAGGCAAATGTCCCTTGGTCAGAAGTTTAGGTCAAAAGAAAGGGACTTAGCTCTTCAATCTAGGACACTATCATAGGCCCAGTTTGGAGGCCACAATATCTGGCCTTGATCATTTGATTTAGTGAACAATAATGAACTAAGAGAAAACCTAGAATGTTCTGATCATATTCATCTTTTGGCACAAAACTAAAACAAGTGAAGAAAGGGGTAGGATTACTTACAGAATCAGAACTATAGGATAATTGTGGTGAAGTATGTAGCATATCATTGTGCAAACAATTATCAGGACAGCTGCAAATTGAACTGCAATGTCAAACGCAACAAAGACAAAGAAATGAGACATTTTAATACACTCAATCAAATTAAGTGTTGAAAAGGATGGCTACTAATCAAATTAAAAAGCCTTGATTGAGAATCAATTACTTTTCAACACTAGAAGTATATCCAAGTATTCTGAGAGCATTCCATGATTTCTAAACTAATATAAATAACCCAGAAAACAACTCCTAATTCTCTACAACAACTCGTAATCGTATCCATTTTTTGAGAATCGAGAACCCCTGCCTAATCTCCTAATGCTTACCTCTGCAAACTCAAGTGTGGGGAAGAAATGGTAGAAGAAGGACAAGAACACGAAGAGGATGAGCGGCAATTAACATGCAGCATTGTCTATGGCTGCTATTCTGATATCTCCTGAGAATCTGAAGAAGGGAAATTGTAATTTTTTTCAGCTACCACAGAAGGGGAAAACCATATAATTGTCAATGTGTTACTATATGATCTCCCGACAATCTCGAATAAAAGAACAAATATAAGCAATGAGTAGGAGATGACATATAGGGTATTTATTACCACTAAAAAACACAAGCAAAAATAATAATCACCATTTATTCAACTTCAAATATCAAAAGAAAAACACAAGGGAATCCACAGATGAAAACAATAAGAGTAATAATGTCAAGGGTAAAATTAAAGGAGAGGAACCTCACATGAAGTCAAATTCTAAACATTCTGACAGACAACTTGAGAATACTGAATACATACAGGATGAAGCCAAAACGAAGAATCTTTAGAAGGAAGAGAGCTTCATCACCTTAGTATATTGTGTGGGAAGAAGAAATAATCAAGAAGGATCAAGAAGAAGGCATTACCAGTAGCAGAAATGGGGAACCCACTGAAATGATATCAGCAGAGAGGCACTACCAAGCTTCCAAACAACGGAATCTATAAAAAATCACAGGACCCATCTCGAAAAGATGGAGCGATTATGGAGTTATCATGAACAGGAACATTGCAATTTGCAAAAGATCTTCCAACGGGTGTTCAAACAAGAGATTTTCTGGAGGACGGACGACCCACCAGAGCGAGTTGAACCAGGCATTAATTGTCTCAGCAACAGAGAGAGAGAGAGAGGGGGCCACTGTTACTGCCTTAAGAAAAATATCATTTAAAAAATATAAATCACATCTTATTAGGTGGACAGAACTCACAGAAGTGAGCAGTTATGATGACGAAGGAAGCAGTGGGAGAGCAGGTATTTCAGCTCTGCCTAACACAAAAACATTTCATCTTATCATTAGGTTTTGGTTTCTTAATGGCGAAAGATTGGATCGATTAGCGAAAGAAACAGTTAAGAGAGTCAAATTTTTATCTGGGTATCCTATTCCTGGATATAACTTGGGATATATAATGAATAATGAAATGAAAACAAAAGCAGAAAAATTAGGAGGGGCAACGCAAAGGTCCAATTTCTCCTTCTTTTCTTGTGCATCTTTAACCACACGACAGGAACATTATATCGGTTCAAGTGGGTCCTCCATCTCTCAATCAAGGTGGATCCTCGTTACTCAAACAATGTCCCACATACATACCACCGACTTCACATCTGCCTCCCACAGAATGCGCTTCAAAAACTTCCCACGTGTACATTTCAGCGTGCACGAGATATTCCTAATATACAGTTGAGATATGCTGTGGAATGTTTTTGGGAGCACATTCTGTGAGGGTAGATTTGAATTCATACATACCTTCTGTAAATGAAACATCTAAGGTTCAATTCGGGCGTGCTCAAAAATATTCATGCCAATAAGCATTTATTTTGGGCCAGATCACACTAATAAGTATTTATTTGAATATGGAAAATAAATTCAAAATAAGTATTTATTTCTTTGTGGCCTATCTTGATTCGTTACTTTTCAATTAACACTTATTTTTAAGTATTTATTTAATAAATACTTACTTTTTACTCCCAAAATGATCACGTGTAAGGGGTTAAAAAGAAAAAGAAAAAGAAAAAAATTGGAATCGTTGGGCTTTTTTTTGGGCTCAAAAGAGAAAACGTCATTGACCAAAAGCAATTTCTAAATTCTGACCAACAGACAACAGACTGTAAGAAGAAGGAGGATTTTAGGAAAGAAATGTAAGAAGGTGACGTAATCCTAAAGCAAAAATATGAATTCAGATCTGCGCCCCACACCAAAAATATATATTGAAAGAATGCCAAATTATGTCTAATGATTGTCGTTTTCAAAGAAAGAAATGGTTTGGAGGAAGGAAATTCACACCCATTTAGAGAAAAAAAAAATAGTAAAAATAATCTGAGGATGACATAAGTATTCCATTAATATGATGATGATGATGATAAGACATTTTACAGGGATTTCCAATAATGACAAATAGCCGTTTCATTGATATTCATTTGATTTTGAGGTTCTTGAAATTATTCCATAAGAAGAAAAAATCTTTACTTAAAACTCTGTTAAAATTTAAACCGTTTAAGAGGATTTGATAACTCAAATTATGTTTGCCGTTACCAAGAAAAAGTAAATACATTTACTTTCATAACGACAGTTCTAATTACCTCTTCACACATTTGATAATTAAACCTCAAAAAAAAAAAAAGGAAGAAAGCTATTCAGTGGATTTTCTTGAGTAAATTGTTGAAAGCTTTCTTAAAATTTATGCTCATTGCTGAAACTTCCCTTGAACTTATATTCAAAGTAGACTTTTTTCAATAGAATCCTCTAATAGGAGGCACGAAAAATGTCTAAAATACTCATAAAGTTACTATTGGGGCTACTTTCTTCATAAAAAATAATACAAATTTTATGAACAATAGAAAAAGAGTTTTAAATTACAATTTTATCTTTGAGTGATTGATATTAGGGGCAAGTTTAAAAAATAAATCAATTTCGAAAATGAGACTAGAAGGACTTGGAGGTAGCGATTGATAAGGAGAGAAAATTTGGAAAATAAACATATTGGTCAAGAGTAAATGCTTAGATATTTTGGACATTTTCATGCCTCATGTCGAATAGAAGGTATTTACTTGCTACCATGTTAAAAAAATTCAGAGGAGCTACTGCAATTATCAAACTTCAAAGGAGATTTCAGAAAAAGTCAGGAACTTCACTTCAAGGAGTTTTTAGCAATTTTGCTTTACTTTTGATAAAGTATTTCAGTGGATCAAGTATCAAATAAGAAATAATGGTGTCCAAGATTTGGTACATTAGTTACACTTACCACTAAGAATTTGATGAAAAGATGTTGAACTCCACCAATGTTTTAATTCATTAATTGCCACCAAACCAAACACACTTTACACACTCTTTTCAATCAAATCCAACAGCTTAAAATTTTATATATATAACGTGATTAGATATTAGCAAAGCCAAGTTAGTTTGATGATTGCTGAGTCAAAAATTAAACATTGATAAACTCATCTATCTACACAGCTTAGATTGATAATTGATGTTGGCATTATATATCATGTAGAAGGCTCAGGCCCATACACCTGTAAATGTCCTACACCGAGTTGTTCTAGATGCTAACATACTCCCTTGGGTCTACCTGCAGAAACAGGGCCCATCATTCAAGGGTCTGGGCTCAGGGATCTCACACAGGACATAGATGGGGCCCCGGGTCCAGTGGTCCACCACTGAATGAGTATCAAAATTAAGCATAGTTATACAATTATTAACCATCTGGTTTGCTTTATTATCTGTGGGTTTTTTTCCATTTAAAGAAGCAACCTTTGGTCCACTATCCAATTAAAATATAATAATTTTAGAGTTCCTTTGGTTTGCAGTCGGAATCAGAATCAGAATAGTCCATTTCAATTCCGATTTTAGATCCTTATTCCTGCAAATCAAACGAGGCCTTAGATGATTATGCATTATATTAACGATTATCTGCTACGGCATTGAATAGGGTCTGTTTGACGCTGTGTCCTGATCCACGAAATAAGGGAGGGACAGGTGGTTTAGTAACTTCTTAAAGACCCAATTTCAAATCCAAGATTTGGGGCTTGTTTGATGCATTTTTTGGAAAGATCTTCTGGTAGTTCTGACGGTCAAAAGACGCATTGAGTTTTTGCATGAAGATCTGAACAGTTCGAAGCATGTTTGGCTGACGTGCGCCTTTCTATGTGAGAATAAAATGCGAAAAATGTGAAAATTTTAATTTGGAGCTTCCTAAAATCAGCCCAAAATGGGCTTTTCACGTCTTTTCGGCGTTCCGTCTTTTGGCGGCTAGATCTTCCGTGTGCCAAATAGAAATAGACCGAAAATCAGTCTTCCCGGCTTGTACACAGCCAAAAGACTGCATGGAAAGATGTGTCAAACGCAGCCTTAAATTTTCATGGGCTTTTAGAGAATAGAATAATATCAAATAATAACCTGGTTGAATCTCCTTATGTTTTGTACTTCAAGTTGTTGACAATATGTGTACATCATGTGCTTAGCAAAAACAAATGGAGGAGTACTACTTCTAGCTTTAACGGTACTATTGCATCATGGAGATACAAGGGCTATGTTTGGTTCTATAGATGTTTATTAGAAAAATGTGACAATATCAACACCATTTAGACATTGACGTTTATTGTGTATGAAATTACTATTTGGTTTTAATGTTTATCAAATAAACATTAAAAAACAGAAAACACTTGGACTTATGAGGAATTGGAGGAAACTTCAAATTTTGGTTTCTCCCAATGCCCCTGCGTTTATTAAAATAAACACATACAAGAGTACTTGCTCATATGGTAAATTTGACCTAAAAAGTCATCCATCCCTTTCTTTTTAGAGGGGAATGCATATTACAAGGGAAAAAACACCCATATATGTTATAAATATATTGTCATAGCCGGAAAATGAACAAGTCAGGGGTTTGGTTCCTGGGTCGAACAGTCCGATCATTCGAACCGAAGGAACGGCCTATTTTGATAAAAAAATAAAAAACCAACTAAACCATTAAACGGTTCGAACAATTCAACTGTCCAGATTAATGATTTGTTGACCAAATTAACAATTTTTAGAGAAATAATGGTTTTGGGATAAAATGAAATCAATCACCTGTTCGATTCCCGATTTTTCTAGTTTGACCATCCGATCTGATCCAGTTTTGAAAACGATGATCATAGCTATGAAAAGAATATTAGGCCTCGTTACTTGATTAATACGCTTATCTGGGCAAATGATTCCCAAGCAAGAGTTATCTAGATAAATTGTGGTGACAGTGTTAGGTCACACCGATGCTTGCTTGGTAAAGACCTTGACCAAAGATTTTAATACTTTGGATACCCTCTAAGAGAGTATCGGTCCCCCAGGTAACAAATACTCTCCGCTCCGAAAAAATAATCTTTTGTGGGATTCATTATATTGGAATTTGAACATGGAAAAATTAATTAATTACCCCATTAATTAATTTACCTGTATTAAATAATCGGTAAATATAAACAAGGCCTTAATAGATATTCCACCCCCTCCTTCCAACTTGTTTATTTCACAAGGAGTATGCCATTTATCAAAATGTGAAGCCCAAATCAATATCCACCTACTGATCAAAAAATGAATCCCCACTTTAAGAAAGGAAAAGCATTTAACCGTAAACCCATGCACCCACCTTAAAGCAAAAGAAATATTCTCTTTGGAGCAGTACTGGCATGTCTCCTCCAAATGTTGGTTAAATTTAAACACGATTACTTTTCCATGTAATAACAGCGCTAATGACCACTAGCTAGCTAAGAAAAGCTGCTTAAGTAAAATGGTGAGAACGTTGGGAGGTTTCACTTTGACAGATCGACTCTTATGTCTAATTATCACATGGGTTGGAGACAACACAGAAAGTAAACTACAAACGGAAGAAGGGGAAGAAGAAGAGAACAAAAACGAACCTCTTTCGGGATTGATCAAGAGCCCAGATGCTGATGGTGTAATGGTGTTGTTACGAAATTCCCCTTTTCGTTTTATTTTATGTTTTCTTCTTCTTGGGCAGATCGAGGTGGTCATCAGCTGCGTTACGTTCTGGGTATCTGCTGCTGCATGTTCTGATATCCAGTAGTACTGATTCGGGGTGTAGTTTGTTTAAAAAGCAGTTGGGGAGGCTTATTCCTTGGGTGTAGCAAAATAATGCTGAAAGTGCGTGAAGTTTTTGTTTTGTTTGCTTGAAGATGGAAGTCGCGACAAAGGAACCTTGTTTGAATTTCGAGAGTTAGGTGAAAGTGAAACCCATGAATATGTGTCCGTCGATTTGCAAAGTACAAACAAAGACACCATTAGAATAAACTGAATAATGGTTTCTCGGATTTTATGTGTTTGATCTTTTTGCATTTTACCAGAACCCAGAGAGAGACTGAGAGACAGAGGACCACAGCCAGAAGCCCAAGCATCCCAAGATCATTGGTCCACAATACTTGAATGGGGATGAGTGGGTTGACGTTGCTGGATGGATTACCACCAAAGGATATGAGGAAAAAGCTTTAAATGAAAGAATACGTTACTATTTACAATAAGGAAGCATATTAAAGAGGTGAAGTAAGTGTGATATGAAATGAACGGATCAGACCGATTTGCTCACGCCATCTCTTCACCTTCACGTGGGGTCATGTTCCGTAGCGACTAGCGAGAAAACTTTTGACTGATCTGTACCTGTTCAAACAATGTGCAGCCTGGGCTGTCAACACTCTACATAGGGCTCTCCCCGCACGACACGTTCTCGGGTTCCCTTCCCACTGACTCCTTAGTTGTTAAATAGTTCCGGTATTGGCCAAGGTAGGCTATGTCGGAACTTGCTGTGCCTACCAATACCATACCATGGGGGGGTGTGTGTGTGTGGACTGTGGAGTATAAACCAAACCAATATTTGCTGCAATCAATAATCATTTGACCAAAAAGACAAGGAAGAGACTGAGAGTGGGGTAACGTGTTATGTTCAAGAAGCTAGCTCCCAACACAGCCAAAGTTTGCTCCATGTATTATTGGCTTGGGTCATGGGTGAGATAATATATGTCAGGCGCGCAAGGAAAGCCCAGGCTGTCCGATTGGGGTCTGGAATTGGAACTGAAATGGGTCATTCTGATTTTAATTATTTAGTTTGGTGGAATTAGAATTTCATTTCAATTCTTGCTAGAACCACATTTCCTTTCCTTGAGAATGAAATTCCAGTCTAACTTATTCTAATTTCAATTTTAATTCTTTTACAAACCAAATAGATTATAATAATAGATCATTCTAATTTCAATTTCAAAAGATTTTGATTTTGATTCCGATTCCGATTATAGCTCAAATGGATCTTAATCTAACTGGTCAGTCAAGCAACTCAACATGTTACATGTACCCCAGAAGAAAGAGTAGCGGTATTACTGAAGATACATTGGGCTCACAACCCAAAAAAAACTAATATCTCCAAGCCCAAAATACCTTTACAACCCAAATAAGAAAGCTGGGCCAAACAAAAAGACAAGCCCAGACGATCAAAAGGAACAAGTTGCGGCAACCCAAAAAAATCCAAAAGATCCCCAAGCCCAAAAAGTCCAAGGAGATCACCTCAGCTCTCCACGGAGATGGGGCGCCCAACATGTACATCTTCAGCGTGTATTGAGAACATTTCCACTGAGCTCTCTATGAATTATTTGAGCTTGGTTCATGAAAAGCTCTGCTCAGCTTGGTTTCAACCGATCTTTAAGTCGAGTTCGAGCACAATTTACAGGCTCGTTTATTAATCAAGACAAGCTTAAATAGTTACATATTTAAGATGCATATATACATACATACATACATACATACATACATACATACATACATACATACATACATACATACATACATACATATAATAATAATAATAACAACAAAAACAACAACAACAACAACAATAATAATAATAATAATAAATAGAAAATTATAAAAAATAATATATATATATATAATATTTTTATTTTTATATATAATAATTAATTATTATATATATATATATTTTTAAATATATATATTTTTTTTATTTTTATAAAACATTTTTTCAAGTTGAACTCGAACTCAAAATTCTAGCTTAAACCGAGCTCGGACCTCGCTCTGGGGCGTTGTGGGGCGCCGATGTGAAAATCGGATTTCAAGCCAAGTAATCAAGTTAGGGGAGAAGGTGTATTGTTGATCTACAAAAATAGTGGTGTTTAATCATGAGTGATGATTCATTCAATGAGCACACTGTCAATTGAATAATAAGTCATATGTGGGCTTATGGGTATTGACTCTACAATTCAATACCCTTTTGAATCCAACAACGAGTGATAAACACATAGAGGTACCCAAACCCAATGGCCAATGGGAGAGCCGCTCACTGGATGAATGGATCATGGATGAAGACGTGCTCAAATCATCACAATTCCTTTGCTATTCTTATTTTGTGTGTGAAAAAGATAGAATAAGCCAACTGTCTCCAGTTATTGTCGTTTTTCCCTTGTCCATGCCCATTGCCATGATAAATATTGAATCAATCATACACATGGAATGACTCTTAAGATAAAACATGGCAAAGCAAGACCCCCCCCCNCCCCCCCCCCCAAGATTAGTTGGGGGATTTTGGCAGCCACATCTTGCTTTGGGCGGTGGAATTGAAGTAGCTTCCATCACATCCTCTGCTCCAACAATGCGCCAAGGTACGGGGGGTTGTCACCAAATTGGATATCATGATTCATGCATAGAAAAAGTGTTATATATGGTAATTAAGCATCCAATGTGGCGATGCATGTTCCAGAAAGGAAAAATAAATAAAGGACTGTTGTCTGTTGAAGCCAGATGGTTCAATATGGAGCAGTAATAAAAGATATTAGGATCTGTTTGGTTGCAAAATATCAACCACATTTAGCTGTTAGGCACTACCATCGACCATGAAGCCATAACATCATTCACAAATTGACAGTGTTTGATTTCATTAGAGTTAGAGTTTTGAATTTGATGATATTCCCCTTTTGGGGGCGACCATATCTTTATTTACTTGATTTTTGCATGTTATAGCTACATCTAGAGTCTACAAATGACCTACTACCCTTAATGTTGAGCAATGACATGGGTACATTTGTTTGCAAATTAAATATATGCATGGTTCAAAGTATATATATCGGCAGAGGTGTATTGGAATTTTAAATCATTCATTTTTTTTTTTTTTAATTTGGGTTCCTGAAAATACCAATAAATAGATGTATCATATATTAAAAAATACGATATGATATGCCCGATATAAACACAAAAGTATAGATATTTAAATATTGAATATATATGGCTAAATGAAATGAAATGGAAGATCAAGCTTAACTTTTTTTTTTTTTTTTTAAATTCCTTCTTCTCAGAAATTTCAAAACAAGACAACATTAAGGCCCGCCCGTGTTTGTTAGCCAAAAGCAATTAGAATTATTTGGCCAAAGTGTTGGTAATAGGGTACAAATGGAGTGGTCCATTGATGAAGAGGAATGTGGTCGTTGCCCAATGCCCCAAAACAAGGACTAGAGTTGTAGTCTACTACTAATGGACTGGGCCTTTAATCAGTAAGGGCTTCAAAGAGTCAAAGACAGACAACAGCGGTCCTGGACCAAAACCCTACCACAGTCTTCGGGAAAACTCATCACATGGGATGTAAAAGACACATTTCCGGTGTCTGGGTCTCATCATATTTATTATATCCCCGAATTGCCCCTAAGGAGTCAGAATAAATTCAAATAACCCAGTACTCCCTACATCTAACATCTCTAGGTCTAAGAGTCCTGGCCCTCGTGTGCATGTCCATATCTGATTAAGGACCCCAACGTACCCTCAGAACACCCTTTTGTTTGGCATCAAATTAAATGGGGGCTTGTTGGCTGTTACAAGCTACAAAAGCCCCAAGACACGGTTATGTAGGCAGGGGACAAAAGGATTTCATCCCTATTCACCCATCCTCATCCTGGCTGGACCTCACAATTTACAACTATGGGCGCCCAAATGAAATGGGTCTAATTACAAGAGTGTCTATGCAAAGGACATTTTCCTTTTATTAAGGCTCGTTTGTTTCCGGTACCCGAGTTATGTGTTTATTTGGATAAATGATTATCAGGTAAGAGTTTTTCGGTCAAATTGCGGTGTCACTGTTCAGTTGCATGGATGCTTAGACTTTGCTGGGAGATTTTAATGCATCGATTGCCCAAAACACTGATATTCTCCAGCAATCGAACATGAAAAATTAATCAATTGCCCGAGATATAGGTAAGCAAACGAGGCCTAAATAATTTAAGCACAAGCCCAGCCACATACGCCTAATCGTATTTACAGAATGAGAAAATAGCAAAAGTGGTATTTATGTAGTACGTTACGTAGTAGCTGTGAAAAAGAATAAGAACCAATGAACCATGGACTTTGGATTTCAGAATTGGGAATATCATACAAGTATTTCTTTCTTTCTGGGGTAGAGGGACCCACAGGGTTCTGCCATCATCGTCACACTCTGGGATTTCGTGTCTGAAGTTGAGGTGTCATGATCTTAGCAAGAATATACTTAGCTCCTGGCCGGAACTACCATCTGGGTTAATCATGTGAAACGATTCCGAGTCAGCCGATCCAATGACCCGTTCAAAACTTGCTCTGAGGTACATGAGATCCCCATCCTCAGACTTGGGCTCCACCGGCAACACCCCGGCACCAACAGACACAGACTGCATGAGCTTGAGAGTAGTGGCATCACTCTCCGTCATCTGACGCCTGACCGCGAACCCGACCTTCCGACCATTGCAATACATGGACCAGACCGGGACACTGAACAGAGAACAAGAGTTGGACCGGGCCCTTGTTTGATTGCACTCCAGTGCAATTCGAAGCAACCCATACTGCATTTCTCTGGCAAGATAAGCCGTAGGCACGGCAAATTCCAGTAAAAGGAGAGGAGAGCTCTTTGAATCATCCTGAAGGCAGAAGCTAACCCGTCCCTTTCGATAGCCGAAGAAGGTCCCCGTCACAGTCGAGCCATGTGTCAAGTCGCTATCACTGTCGACGGAGTCCGATGGTTGGAACCCACAACATGGAACCATGCACTCTACCAGTGATCTGAACGATCGCCGGAATCTGACCTCCCGGCCGCAGTCCACGGCCGTAGGTGTATCGATGATGTATATAGGGCCTCTTTGGCCTCCCAAATCAACCATCCTCATCTTGGTATGGTATATATTATGGATCTCAGTCACAAGATATATAATACTAGAGAGAGAGAGAGAGAGAGAGAGAGAGAATAGGAAGGTGAGTATGAACTATGAAGTAGTAGGGGCTGAAAATCAAGTAGTTGAAGGCGAAGACGGAAGATCACAAGAGAAGTGAAGAGAGAAGCTTAGTAGGAGGAAAGGTGTGAGGGGTGTTAAATAAGGGGAGGGGGGCTAGGGAGAGGCAGGCGTGTAAAGAGGGTTTGATATCTTGGTGGGTCGAGGAATCGTGGGCAATAATTCTGACCACGAGGGTGTGTGGGGCCCAATTTGGATGGACTTGGATGGCGCGCATGAAATTACAAAAGCTGAGAGGGACGAGGACCAAAGACCTCGCTTCCTTGTCTCTTTGATCTTCTCCCTTCTACTCTCGTGTCCAATTGTCCATTGTCCACACCCCCAAGGAAGGAGATATCGAACTCTCTCGTCTATACCACACTAAGAAAAGGTAAAACGAATTCTTTATATTTATCTAATCAACAATCAAGAAAGAATATCAACCTTTAGAATTCTTTATGTATTAAAGGACCAGTTTGACAACAGCCGAAAATGGATGAATTAGATGATTTATTATTTATGTCGTTTAGTGGATAAGATATCAAATAATGACATATTCCAATTGGAGTTTCGATCTCCAGCCTACAAACTGTTGCCACATTTTTATCCATGAGACTAAAGTTAAAGTATCAATATATATCGGTCCGTATCTGCCGACACATATTCACTGGTTCGGGAGATAGAGAAGTCTTAAATCGATCCCTTGAACTGATTTTAAAAATAAAAAAAATATATATCAATATAGCTCAATATATCTTTATCGACATATTTGATGTATCGATATTTTGAACTTTAAATGAGACATTATAGATACTTTGTAAATATATTTTCTTGTCATTCATAGAGAGATATTCCCAATACATGGTAGGAGATTCTAAGTGACTGGATTGTACAGTTATCTACCTAACTTCAGCTTTAGAAACTTGCTTCCTGAATAATTTATCCACTAAAAGACAAAGCAGCAAGTGATTCAATTCAGCCTCTTCAAGGTGTCATCAAATGGCCCCCCTAAATCAAACCTGACTGGATGAGTGCAGCTACAAGCCTACACAATAACAAGAAACGGTGAAAAACACACAACAGCAGAAGGTTCTATTTTTTTAATCTTTAATTAATAATGATAATAATATAGTTTAGTTACATGGGCTGGGCTGGGTAGTGGTTAGTTAAGGCCTAAATGTTTTGTCCTTTTTTCCTTTTCTTTTGTTGTTCAGGGTTGGGGATTTGCTAATGTTGATGGACATCCCGGTTTAATAAAGTTTAGTCCGGATGGTCTGGCAGCCATGACACACACATGACACATGCATATATTGCATAGAAATCAGTCATCGCTCCCCTACTTCGCTTTTGGGTTGTCAAGGCCAAAAAGTGAAAAAAAGTTAGATCCCGCCCAACCCACTTTACTTTGGGTCAGCCTCAGGTTGGGCTTTTCCCGACCCAGCCCAGAAATGGTCGGACCTGACCTGACGTACTGGCTGATCATTCATGTTGAATGTTGATGTTGGGTTGGGATTTGGAAAATCCAGATCAAAGTGAAGATTCTCTCCCACATTGTCATCATAAATAATAATGTTCAAAAAGGATGACCTAGCTAGCATGATGGTCACAATGTCTATTCTATTTCTATCTATAAATAAAATAAATATCCAATAAACTGTAATGATCACTCCATCTCTCGACTCTCGCCCCAGAAAATTTTACTTTTATATATAAAGCGCTGAATCTGAAATTCGAAAGGCGACGACTCAATCTCACCGATGGTCAAGGATTACCAATTTTTTCTCTCTCTCTCTCTCTCTTTTTTTTTTAAATAACTTCAATTAATTCCACCTATAGTTCAAATTAAGTAGTTTTAAGAGGGTAATATTCAAAATTCCATTTTCATGAGAAGATTAACTCAAAATTAGCTGCCTGACCGGACAGGGGGCCCAGGGTGAGGCCGCAGCCCAGCCTTACGTGCACCGACATAGACACCACCACCACCACCACTACACAGACAAAGTTGGGGTCAATTGGTCTCACTCTATCTGTTTATGAGAATGCACAGCTATATAGCTAAGTAAGTTTGGCCGGCCGGGAAAAAAGGAAGAAACAACGCTTTACAGCAAAGAATAAAGGGAGATGTGAGGCATGTTTCCAAGTGGGCATTACAGGGGACAATGTGAATTTACATGTGATAACAGATGAGCTGCTCTTGCGCTTGTGCAAAAGGTTCTGATCGTGGGTTCGGTGTTCCCCCCTCCGGCCTCCATCGTGTGAGTTGCGTTCGATGATTGAATTACTTGGGATTCATTTGGTTTGTGGGAATACTGAGAATCCCATTCATATTGCTGGTGGGATATAGCTAGCCATTTTGATATTTTCTCTATTTTAGAAATAAAAATCCATATCCTTGATTCCAATTTCGATTTCGATTCTCAGCTGAATCAAATAAGTGAGAGGAATAAAATATTCCAATCTTGAGATTACATCTTTACTAGGATTGGCATGGGATATTCTCATGCAGTGTAAGCAGACCATTTGGTATATGGAGAGGAGCTAATTATTTAATTAAAGCTTAAAGTAGTAAAGGATGGAAAAATGGCCAACCAAACAGTGTCTTAATTGGTATGTATGAAGTTATTATATAAATAATTTTGTGATAGATGATGAGATGATGTATATGTAATAATATAATATAATATCATTATCATCATCATCTTCACTTGACTACTTTTACGTGGACAAGAGCAACATCAAACGCGAAGGACATGACCCAACATTAGCCAAACCAAAAGAAAGTGAGAAAATGAGGAGGAACGGAGATAAGGAGTTGATGTTTTTTAATTGGAATCCAAGGCATGTTCATGCACGCATGGCTGCGGCAATGATTCCATCCAAATCAGGCGTCAGGCGTGCTTCTAACATTTCATATACCATATATTGAGATTGGGACCGAGTTCCACACTCCAACTTTGTATCCGTCCTTCTCTCTTTTTCTATTTATCTATCAGATTAGGTCAGGTTGAAGTCATGCAACTTTAACCCAATTGGACGTATTGAACCCCAAAATCTAAAACTAACCCAACCCCGGCTTATCTTTCAACTCAATGTGTCATTAATTCTATATCCCTAGTCCAACTCATGCGGAGTAGGGGGTCAATGGTTCAGTTTTGGGTTGGACCTCGTCTAAATCAAAATTAATTTGGATCGATTAGATGGACCGATAAGATATATTGAATTGGATCAGTTCGGATTTAATGGTCTAAAACATTTATTGGATTGGATTGGACCTAGTCCATACGTAATGGATTTAGGTCAGAATGAAACAATATCTGATCCGTTGATGGAACAAAAAAATGCAGGTATCAATAGACCATATTTGAACAGATTAGACAGTCCATGGCACACGCTATGTCAAAGGGAATTAAAATTTTCAAATGGAATTGGAAACGGAAGTGAGAACTATGATGCCAAATTCTTCTTTTAGCATGTGTGTGTGTAAGTTAATGCAAGTGGAAGTAGAATTGGAGTCCATTCTCAAGTGGAATTAAAATTGCACAATTATGAGAGGGGATTAATTATTGTCCATCATTTGTTGATTCACTCTGTAAGAACAATAATATTAATTAAAATACAAAAGGAGCTCAACAAAATCATGGAGTAGGTCAGATCTGATATCAACTCTGCTCTATGTCCAGTTTGGCAGGTTTGGCTCCTCATGAAGGATCCATATTTCGATTTCAAAGTAGAAACATCGACATGCTCAACAAGCAAATCTTCAAATCAATTGAAAATTCCACCCAATCTAGCTAGTGCAGATTAACATAATGACCCATATTATATCTTAAGGCTGTGTTTTATTTGAAGGAAAGAGTAGGGAAAGGAAGGGAAAGGTAGGGAAATCTTTATAAATCTTGTATAGGTTTTTCTACCTTTTCCTTCCTTTTCCTATTTTTCCATTCAAATCAAACATAATCTAAGGCTCCATTTGGTTTGTGGGAAGATTTAGGTGGGATGGGATGGGAAAGTGTAAAAACTTATACTTCCCTTGTTTGGTTTTATATGGGGTAAATAATGGGAAACACTATTCATCATCTCCTACCTTCGGACAGTGCCATCGGAGATGATGAATAATGCTTCTCCCAGTCTTCCACTACCCGCCGCATTGCCGCATTGTTGTACACGATTACATTTCCATGCAGTAGAAACGCACACGCTCGCAGATCCCCCGAAAGCATCTCCCCAGTAGAAGCGACCGTTGGGTTCAATTCACAAATGACAATTCACTGCCATTTGGAATGTGGTTGCCTTGGAAGGAGGGTTACTATCAGCTTTAGTATCGCTGGTTAATCTCAGCTTCAGTGTTCAGTATCGCTGGATTTCAGCTGGTTAATCTCAACTTCAATATCGCTGGACCTGTTAATCTTAGCTTTAGCCTCGACTGGTTATTATCACTCTGGATTTCAGCTTCAGCATTGCTTCTCTGCTGAAATGAAAGATTCTCACTTCGAGGGGCGTCGGCAGAGAATGTCACCTGGCGACCGTCCTCAAGGAAGGGGAGGTAGCAGATTGCCGATGGTTTTGGTGCGACCCCTCCGCTCCTGCTTCTGGGTTCGAACGTCACTGCCACTGAACCAACTCCTCTTCTGTATTTTCCACACAARCCGTTCCTCACTCCCTCCTCTTTCTCAAAATTTTCCATTGGGGTCGCACCAAAACCGTGCGACCCCAAATCTATGATTTTGGGATCCGACATCCCACATATTTCTCATCCCATCCCTCTCTTTCTCTCAAAACAAATGAGAGAAAAGGGAATATTTTTAGAATATTCCCTTTTTCTCATCCCCATCCTACGAACCAAATGGAGCCTAAAGGATTGGGGGATTATGTCTATGAAGGACAGGTTGGGGTTTCCAAATCGGGATTTGCTTCTCAAAGATTACATCTTACACCAATTTCATTGTATATCTCATTGTGTATTGAAAACATCTTTCTCTTTCTATAAAAACAACACACAAGTATAGAGATGTTCCTGACGTACGGTTGGAATGTATTGTGAGGTTGGTGTAGAGAGAAGATCCAGATCCGGACTCGGGTTACTCCCAACC